TGTTAATGCAACCGGAGGCGGCGCCGCCTCTCCTGTCTCGCAGGAGCAGTCAGGTGTAGCATGAAGGACTTTTAATTGCAGATTAATAATGACCGGGGTTAATTTTACTCTCCCCAGACACCCACAAAAAGAACAAACCTCAGATAAAACGGGGGGTTTGAATTTCGGATTTCGGATTATCCTAAATTCTGAGTAGAATATTTCTGGTGTGCTTTGAAGGTGACTAGTACCAATACATTTCACTGTAGTATTCTGGTAAAGAATTATCCCTGGTTAACTGTATTTTGCCTTGCTTTAGAATGATGAAAAATGTTCAGTGCTGGTGTGCTGGTGCTGGTGTAACTAAATAAGTAASTAAACTAAGTAAATGATGTGTTTTATTTATTTTTCTTGAACTTTTGGGGTTAGCTCTGCAAAACAGCTCCAGTAACTTAAAATAGCGATTTAGAATAAAGAGCATTTCACATAAGACACATAAGAGAAGGCGTTCGGGGAATGGGCAGGGAGGAATGAAGTGCGCTAGCCAGGCTTGGAGCCAAGGCACTAAATCTGTGAGTTCTTACTGTCATTACCTAAAATGACATTTTTAGGTTGGTTTTAAGTAGCTTGAACTTTTACATTTTGTTCTGCCTGAGACGGAGCCTTTCAGTGAATGTGTCAASTTGCAGCAAAGTTGTATTGGACAGAAGAGGTGATTGCTGTGGTTTGGATGTTTTGACCATCTTTTCTTGAAGTGGCAGTCCAGACAGTTTCTTTCCAGCTAGGAAATTCCTGCCTTTGAGGGACAGCTTTTAAAATAGTCTTTTCATCATTTCTTTTGCAATTTTACTATCAAAATTTAAGTTGGGGAATTCATGAGAGGAGAGGCAATGGGCTCTATTGGTTGACACAGGACTCTTACCAGGCTCTTGTGGTCTGTGGATGTTCCCTTCTGCAAGGCTGTTCATTCTTTCTATTGCTGTTTCTATGACTGTCCCAGTGGAGCAGGCAGGGTGGTTCTCATAGAATCATTAGGATTGGAGAAGATCTTCAAGATCGAATCCAACTGTAACCCCCCCAAGCTGCTAAACAGTGTCCCCAAGCGCCTCATCTACACCTTTCTTGAACAGTGCCAGGGACGGTGACTTCTGTCTCCACCACTTCCCTGGGCAGCCTGTTCCAGTGTTTGACTACTCTGTGTAGAAATTCTTCCTAATGTCTAACCTGAGCCTCCCCTGGCGCCACTCRAGGCCGTTTCCTCTTGTCCTGTTTTTGGTAGTTACTCTGGAGTAGAGACTGGCACCTGTCCCACTACAGCCTCCTTTCAGGTGCTGGTAGACTGCGACAAGGTCTCCCCTGGGCCTCCTCTAGGCCAGATAACCGCAGCTCCCTCAGCTGCTCCTCATACGGTCTGTGCTCCAGCCCCTCACCAGCTCCCTTGCCCTGCTTTGGACTCGCTCCAGCACCTCCGTGTCTTCCTCATAGTGAGGGGCCCAAACCCGAACAGGGTATTGGAGGTGCGGCCTCAGCGGCGCCGAGTGCCGGGGCACGATCCCTCCCCTGGTCCTGCTGGCTGCGCTGTTCCCGACAGCAGCCTGGTGGCCCTCGGCCCCCTGGAGAGGTTGTTAGTGGAGAGGGAGCGGGGTGACGTGAGGGGATTCGTTGCCTTGGGCTGTGCTGCTCGTACCCCAGTGTGACACTGGGCACCCTGGTGGCCACAGGGCTCCTGCCACGYGCGGTGGGAGTTGTTCCAAGCATTAATACCTCGTGTGTGTGGCAGCCTCTGGCCTTCCCGTGCAGAGGGATAATCCTGGTGTCCTGTAATCCYGGCAGCCACGCTCGGGCCTCCCAGTGGCAGCAGGAGCCTGCAGGGATCTGCTGCTGCTGCTATTTTGTGGCTCAGTCCAGAGGGATCCCAAGGCTCCGCTCACTCCTGGGTGAGTCCCGCTCTGGCAGCAGCCCAGCCCAGTAACCCAATCCGTTGGAAGCGCTTTTGGAGGCTGGTGCCAGATCCCCAAGTTCAAGAACATGAGCTTGTAATTCTAGTGGCACTGACATTTAAGGGCAGGATTTCTGCCTTAATCCTTCAGGTGTTAGCCAGTGTGTATAATTAACTTCACATAATTCTGTTTCAGGACAAAATATTTGTTTAGCAGAGCCTTGAAAACAAGGGGTGTGTTTGGTGCCTGGGTGGCAGGTACAGAACGAGGTGGACGTTGGGTGTTGGAGAGGCCGGTTTCACAGCAGTGACTCCGGGAGGCGCCGGCACGCACACAGACCCAAGGGCTTTTCCTGCCCTCCACCTCCAAGGTCTCCAGGTAATCCCGAGGCAAAACCGCTGCCACACCTGAGCGCAGGAGGCGGGGAGCACCAGGTGAAGGAAGGCGCTGTGAGAACGAACGCGCTGTGGCTGGTGACGCTCCGGTTTGGTAGTTACACCACAGGGCAAATGGAAAACTTGGCTACAGAGAGCAGCTTTCCTGGAGTTCCCTAAGAGAGGTTGTGACCTAAGCAGGAGGAGAACCAAAGCTCAAAGAGGTAAAACAGAGATTACATTTTCCCCTGAGATTTAAGAGAGGAAATTAGGCAAATGATTTAAAGAATTCACACACACACACACACACACACACACACACACTTATAGCGTAGCTTACAGAGGGTCAAATACCAGCGACCTTCCTGAGCTAACAAAAGTATTGAGGGTTTGCAGAGAATCCTCTATGAACGTTTAGAGATGAAGCAAACCTGTGTGAATATATAGGCTGGAACATGATGTTGTATGTAATTTCTGTAGCCACYTTCTGTGTGCCTTCCCGTTGTGAAGTTCCCTGGACGTGTCTGGTCTCTACGTCTGTTTTGCCTTTGGTTTCTAATGCTGCAGCTTGCAGAAGCAAATGGTGCTTTCTAAGATTTGAATTTTATCGTCTCCTTGAGAATCCTCCCAAGCAGCAGAACTCCAGTTTGCTTCAAAGTCCAGATTAAGTTCACAAAGTTTATGGTAAGAAGTAACAACTGCGTGTGTGAARGGTGGGTATCAATGATGCCGAATCAGTGAACCCAGCCGGACACGATACCCTGTCACGCTTGCTTCGGGGTTTTTAAATTGCATCCAAAGCCCGTTTAAAAGTAGAAATACTGATCTRTTGATTTGCTGTTGGTTTTGAGACCCTGCAGAGAAGCTCTGATGGTCTGACTTCTGTATTTCTGAGTTCGCAGAGCTATTCCCTGTTTTGCTATACATGGTGAAATACGTTTGGAGGAGATTTGCAATTGGCAGGTGGYGTTATGAGAAAGGGTGGGAGAACTTGGTAGCCACATGTGACCGTACGGGAGGATTCGTGTTGTGGGAATGAGCATTTCAGCTGCATTTTGCTGTTGTTGGCAGGACAAGAGGTAAGGCCGAGGCGGGAAGCGGGGTGCTTCTGTAGGAGCTGCCCTCGGAGCRCAGCCCTGTTGAGCAGGGCGGCCGCCCGGAGAAGCCCAGAGAGAGCAGAGGTTGGTGGGGCCGCCCCGGAGGGCGGCTCCGCGGAGTCGTGTTCATGTCCCGGGATGTGAAAAGAGGGAAAGAGGCAGAGATGGTGACCCCTTCATTTTATAACCTGAGTGTCCCGGAACGCCAGAACCTGCCTGTTCTCTTCCGTAGCTTCCCTAGGCTGTGGGTGTGTCCCACACACGTGTGATTCCGTCGGGATTGCGGCTCTGCAACCTGCTCTGTTGAGCAGCTTTCCAGAGGCCGTGTGCCGGGCTAGCTGGTTTCAGCGACACGGTCGTGAGATTAACACATCCCTGAGAACCTTCTGGGAGCGTCAGCAGCTGGTTATTTGGGCGGTAATCTCTCAATTCACTGAAATACCTAAGAACTGTAATTGTTACCCTCCTAATCGGTGCTGAGCTGCATCTGGCCTGTGTCCACTTGTTGGGTACTTGCAGAAATGGGAGACGTGGAGAACAGAGAGATATTGAAAGCAATACCCTCCCTCCAGCACCATCAGTGAATTACTGAGGTGTAGGTGTCTTAAGCAAACAAACAACATTATAAAAGAAAAAAAGGGAAAAAAAGAAGAAACCCTTCTCTGCCCACGTAGCTCTGGGAATAGGGGCACGTCCTAGTGCTTCGCGTCTCGGAGCGGCTCTCGTTTTGTGCATTTCCTGTATTGCACTTATTTCATATTGTGCAGTGCTTGGTTAGTCTCACTCTGTAGAGAGCTCTGCTTTTAAAAATGAGCCCAGTAGACGCTTCGGAGCAACTCGCTTAACAACTGCTTGTCTAGAGCAGGGATTTGTGTGCAGGCTGCTTATCACTCGGGATGACCTTTTCCTTGTAAAAATGACAGCTGTAGTAAGAGTTGTGGCATTAACTCATAATTTAGACCTTATTCAATAGCAGAAAGAAATATATATAATTTAAGCAGATCTTTCCACCTGTTTTTTTYCTCTCTGTTAGAATAATAATCCCCTTTATTCCAGTAGATGCCTTGTGTGGATGATGAGCGTTTGCTGCTCTGCGTCCCTGGGGAGCCGTGGACCTTTAGCCGGGATCCTGCCGCCGTCCCGAGAAGCGGCAGCAACCGCTGCTCTGTGGGGACACAAGACTAACTGATGTTATTTCCGTTAAGCAGGGCTTAATGGAAAGTCCAAGTCCAGCCCTGCTGCCTTGTTTGGCTGTATGCGTAGAGCGTGCGGTGCCGGGCTCTGTACCCTGGGACAAATACATGCACCCCAAGGAGCTGCTCCCACTTTTCATGGGGAAAGGGGGGTCGATGGAGGGAACGAGGCCGGGATTCCGTTTCCCCAAGCTGCACAGTTCAGTCCCTCTGCAGTTCTGCACTGTCCAGCTTCAAAGCCCTGCACAGTGCAAGTTAGAGAAAGGATTTACCGAGAGAAACTTGTAGTAACTACTTGGAATATATGTCGATTTTGCTCAAAACTCTTGTTTTGTTTCTCTTCCTGCAGTTTCTTGCACGACCAGCTCTTGCAGCCCACGGAATTTTTCCACCTTGTCTTTTAGAAGATCCCAGCCTGTCTTCTGCAGCTCCGCTCCCTGCTCTGGTGGACACAAGATCCTCAGAAGACAATGAGGCAGCTAAAAGGAAAACCCAAAAAAGAGACCTCCAAAGACAAAAAGGAGAGGAAACAGGCAATGCAGGAGGCCCGGCAGCAAATCACCACCGTGGTGCTTCCCACGCTGGCCATTGTGGTAGTTCTGATCGTTGTGTTTGTCTATGTAGCAACACGTCCAAATACAACCGAATGATGCAGCTTTTCAGACTCTCTAACTTCGGGGTATTAATACTTTATCAGGAGCCAAAAAACCTCTCTGCCACTCTTTTAATACTTTACAAAGGAACTTGCTTTTATCTTCAGTCTTTCCCTTGGCTGGGGTTCTTCAATTTCTCTTTGGGAATGTAACATAAAACGTATTAGTGAATGTGCCAGTACGTTTTATGGTCCAGTTCTTGTGCCTTTCAGACTTTTAAAATGGTGTTTTTCTTAAATCTGTTTGAAGTTCTATATTGTAAAAGGAAATTCTGTTCTGCCATAAATTTGTAAAAATCAGCTCTCAGCTATTACCATTGTTATGGATAATGTTGCTCCCGTGAGCTCTTGTATGTCTATTTGAGAACTTCCCAAAGAAGTGTATTTCTTCTTTGTACTTAATGTCATATGAAATGCTTTGATTCAGAAAGGATATATTTATTTTTTGAATAAAGGAGATGAGTCTTACTTGGAATCTTCGTGTTATTTTGTGAAAAATGTGACCTGGCATGAAAGCCTACATCATGTGATAATTTTTTCGTTAAAGTCTATAGCTCTCTTGAATTCCTTCTTGCTGTGAGAGCGCAACGTTCAAAGCAAATACGTTGGGGTCCAACAGAGGAATCTTGCAGAAGTCAGAAAGGGAGGTTCCACCAACTTATAATAAAGTAGCTAATAAATTACCTAAATACAAATAATTKTTTATATAAATGGAAGTTTTACATCTGTACAGCAGCAATAACGAAGTGGGTTTGAGTACAGTCATTTGATTTTCCTTTTCATAAAGAAAGAAAATGCAACATTAGCATTAGTTAGGTCTCTAATCTCTTTATTTAAGGGATCTGCTGTTCTGTAATCCCCCTCCTGCAGTTGCAGGAAATTGTAAGTGCACTTTGGGGCATTTTATTCAAAAAAATCAAACCATAAATACAAATGTTGATAAAATCCTTCAATAATCTTGTATTTTTCACTAGTTCTTTTTCATTCCCATATTTTAGAGCCCTTAGTAACCATTGAGCTTCAGGAGACTTTTGAGCCTATGTAGATGCCAAATGAAAAGGAATATGATGCTACACTGCACAGAAGCAGTAGCAGGAAATATTTTTCAATGAACATCCAATCTTCCCTTCATGTACTTGTCTTCTGRCACATAAATAGTCCCAGTGAGGTCAATGGGACTCTTCTTATGCACTGAAGTTGTGCATTAACCTTGGATATCGTTGCTGTGTGGAATGCTATTTTTAACTGAAATTGTTTTGCAAAACAAAATAAATTTAGGCAAGGAAATGCAATTTGCTGAAAGAGAGTTTGCCCTGAGGCATCTGTTCCCAAAGTGAAGCAGCTCTAGAGAAGCTGCCTCAGAATGAGACATGGACCCGGGAACATGGGGACGGCCACCGCTAAGGAACTTGCTCTGCCATTGCTGCTGGTGAATTAAACTGACCCCACCTTGTTGTGCACAGGGTCCAAGCACATTTGTGCCAAAACCTTAAGACCTGGGGAAAAATGTTAATTGTTTTTTGCTGCCGACATGCAGTGCGCTTGGACCGTGTGYACAACAAGCTACCCAGACAGGCTGGTCATTGTGGTATCTTCAGAAGAGTTCATCCACTGAATGACCWGCTTGGACACCAAAGTGGAGCTCCGCTCCCCATGTGCCAAACAATTGCTGAGGATTTGATGCTTTCGCAGAGAGCTGCCTTAGTGAAGCAGCGAGATCTAAACTGCTGCCTCTGTCAAGGTAATTGTCCTGTCTCTCCCTGTCATTTGTTCTCTCAAGCAACCAAGTTCTTTGTCCGTTTCTTCCCCGCTTTTTCTCCTTGGCTAAGGATGGCTGCAGTTGAGTTACGGTAGTTTGCCTATTGTATTTGTTACAAAAGGTGTGCAGCTCGAATAGGATGTGTCCCTGAAGAAGAGAACCAATTTGAAGTGCCGTTCAAACGTGCTCCTGGCGCAGTGCGCTTGGTTTCCTGAGCACCTAGAACAGAAGCAAAGAAAAYGGCCTGAAATTGGAATTATTCTTGTCCTGTTACAGTTTCATAATGGATGTTTCCCTACCCTTGCTTATTTTGTGCATCTGTTCCATATGTTCCAGCAAAGTCCCCGTGAGTTTTCCATCTCCAAGTTATAGAATTATTTCAGTTCTTTCCAACTGTAGGGCTTCTTTTGTATCCTTGTAAGCAGCAGCATTCGGCTCTGCAAGATCTTGCTAGAATCCCACCAGTCTCTAGGTGAATTTTCTCCAAGAGTCCGTGACCCATTAAAGCAATTAAGAGGCTGATTACAGCTGAACAGGCAGAAGGTCAGCTGAGCCAGATGATATTTAAGACTACATCACTAATGAGACGTTTCATTTCTTCATCTTTTGCCCTTCGTTTATCTTTTGTCACCTGTGTGTTTTTCAGTGCTCATCTGTTTGGAGCCCACRGTTTGTTAGTACAAACCTATAGCTGAAGCTGATAAGAGACTTTGTGTATTTTGATGCCCTGAAATGTGCAGTTCTCCTGAGTACTAATTCAAAAAGTGTTAAATAATCTGACTTTCATTATGCAGAAATTAGAATTAATTTCACAGTTTGAATCTCTAAAAAGAAAAAAAAGAGCTTTATCTATCAAACTCTGAATTTGGATTCTGATTATTTTCTACCATGTTTCCTTTTGCTAGTAGCAGATGAGAGAACATGGATTCGGGAAAAGAATATGAAGCTGCTGTAGACAGAAACTGTCAGRAATCCCTGGGAAATAATCAGGAACTGAATTAATGGCAGTTGCCCGGATGTCAACTATTCTGAACTTCTCAGTGGAAGGTGCAGCCGTGTCTGGTTTTTAGCTGTGTATATTACTCCAAGTGTCAGTTAACTTCAAAAGTGTTTTAGAAAGAGGGTTTCAAACTGTTTCCCAGCATACAGTAGCTTGTGGGCAAAAGTGAATGATTTATTACAAGCGGTTTTACCAGAAGACTCATGCTGAGATGCTTCTTCAGCGGTGTCTTATGAGCGGGTTTGTGAGCGTGCTCATTATCAGGTGAAGTCATTAAAAACCTGCCATTGCCTTCCAATAAACCAAGTTAGAGACCAATTTTTCAAAGTATAAATCAAATCTGAGTCAAACCGTTAAAGATCAAGGTTGTAATGCAGATTTTATAAACATCTTTGAAGTGCTAAGGAAACAGGAGAGTTGTGCCATGTGTTCTTACAGTGGGTGCGTGGCCAGCTGTGGTACAAAAGGTCCACGCTCCCCTAAACTGTGTGAGCCAGCGACACTGCTAGAAGTGTGAAAGAAGAGCTGTGTGTGGTAGGAAATGGTAAAAAACTCACTGTCAGTCATCTTCATCAATTAAACGGTGCAAATGTGTTTACTTACTGAAATCCTGAGTTTTGGAAATCCTGATCACATACAGGAGGTACTTGAGTGTCCCCTTGTTTTAGATCTGAGCTTTGAGCCTGTTTTGGACCAGCCAAAACATTTATTCCCACCATCATGGGAATAAGGAGCCTGTTGGGCATTTGGATTAAGTTTACATGGATACATATTGTACGAGGAACATGAAGTCCTACCATTCATATTTGGACTGTTTTCACTCAAACKGCTGATTGAGTTGTTCAGCTGATGTCTGAAGACCTAGTGGTCTTTTATTCACCACCTKTATTTGTACAAGATGGAAAAACATGAAAAAAAAAATCAGTAATCTCATTACAGTACTTACATATGATGCATAGGATGCAGGACTTCTGCAGGATTTCTTGTTCCATCTTGGATTGTACAAGGATTTAAGTCAAGCCAGTAAATTCAAACTTTGCCGCAGTAAATTCAGTGACTGGGTGGTTTAGAACTGCTCTTTGCACTCACAGAATTGGCCATTTTAGCATACGTGGCCAATGTGTTTTTGAGAACTCTGTCTCAAAGCCTCTGGTGCTCCATCTGAGAGCAGGTTAGAGGAACACAGATGAGTTTGTTAGTTTAGGAGGTACAAACAGAGGGCAAGGTCTTTGCTCTCCAGCTCTGCTCTTTGATCTTTGCGCAGTCCATTAGGGGAAATTTAGATGCAGCATTAAATGAGATTAGACAMAATAACCTATTCATAGCCTTGAGGGGGACCAGGTGATTAAACAGTAGCCTTAGATAGGGTGCACAACTAACTTTGAGAACTGAGTCGTAGAGTAAGAAAAAAAAAAAAACACTGGTATGACAGACTGTTGATGCAGATAACATCACCTGAGGCTCAGCTCTAGACCATTTACAGCTTGCCATTCTCACAGAATCACAGAATGGTKGAGGTTGGAAGGGACCTCTAGAGATCATCYAGTCCMACCCCCTGCTCCAGCARGGACACCCAGAGCACGGGGCACAGGGTGGCAKCCAGGCGGGTTGGGAAGATYTCCAGAGAAGGAGACTCCACAGCCTCCCTGGGCAGCCTGTTCCAGGGCTCTGGCACCCTCACAGGAAAGAAGTTCTTCCTCACCTGGAGTTGGAACTTTCCGTGTTTCAACTTATACCCATTTCCCCTTGTCCTGTCACTGGCCACCAGTGAGAAGAGCTTGGCCCCTTCCTCCCTATATTCTCCCTTCATGTACTTCTCCCTGGGGGTTACTTAGTCCAGGTTTAAGTGATTAAAGGCAATGGGCTTCATTCAGGTGTTATTACAGTACCATTAAAGCAATCATTTAACCAGCTGTACTCCGTAAATGCAGAACAATAAGACTGGGAATTCAGGCTGTCTCTGCAGTGCATTGGAGCGGGAGATAGAGTAGAGTAGAGTAGAGTAGAGTAGAGTAGAGTAGAGTAGAGTAGAGTGAAGTGAAGTGAAGTGAAGTGAAGTGAAGTGAAGTGAAGTGAAGTGAAGTGAAACCCTCAAATGGATAAACTAAAGCCCTTGCTTAAGCCTACCCGCCAGAAAAGCAGGAAAGCTACGTTTTGTTTTTTTCCCATTTATCTCTTATTGTGTTGATTTGGCACTGTGTTTGATTGCATCCTGTGCCACAGGCTCTAGTGTGCAGGGGGGATTGGACTAGATGACCTCTAGAGGTCCCTTCCAACCTTAAGGATTCTATGATCCCTTGCTGTGTCCCGTARAGGAGCACACGGGCTCCGTGACACTCCTCCAGTTGTCCCTTCCCCACATGCCTGTGCCAAAAAGAATCCCAGGACTGCTGAGGTTGGAAGGGACCTCTAGACATCCTCTACTCCAACCCTCCTGCTCAAGAAGAGGTGAAGGAGCCAGGGAGAAAGGTCACGGTTCCCCTGGGTACACGAGCCCATTGAGAACGTTTCTATTCCCTTGCTGTCATTCCAGTGGCAGCTCCCTCAGGATAACCTCGGGGARCGAATGGGATAGCTCTTTTAGCACCAGCTAGATCAGAATTATGTCTTGATGAAACATGCTGCCAAGTGTGTGTACGTGACCGCTGCCTTGGCTTCAGAAAGAGCTGGTGGCAGCCTGTGAGCCGATGTTCCTTTTGTTTAAAATAAGCCTTCATGTCGGGAGCCAAAATATACTTTTGGGGAAAGCTTTGAAAAATCATAAAAGAAATCCAGCATTTTACAACATTTTTCCATTGCCCGGCGACTCACACAGCAGAACAGAATTTTTCTTTTTTATGTTTTCACTAATCCTTAGCTCTAGAACATGGGCGCCTTGTGCTGTCAAGTCATCCCCAACGCTGGCATGAGCAAGCTGTAGCATTTCTCAACCTCATTATTTCTTCTGCCCTTTATTTTTTTAAAGAGTTTTCCTGGTAACATGAAACGTGACACAAAAATACAACCTATGGGCATCTGTATTCCATCATTTGCAGGTGGCACCACTCAGAATCCGTGTTTTACCCATGTCTGCACTTGTCTGAGGAGGCCAGGAGAAGGTGTTGCCAGCCCAGCTGGCGAGGGGAAGGGCGGCCTTCCGGGTGGCCTTTCAGAGGACACCAGCGTTCAAGACCAGCGCTTTGGTTTGCCAGAACCCAGGCCGGTTCCTCAGGCACTAGCCAGCCTTGGGGGTGTCCACCTGGAGTTTTTTGTATGGTATTACCCAAACAGGCTGGAACTAACTCTGTTATTTCTTTAGACAAAGCGAATGGCTTGGCCAGGTGTGAAGAAGTTTTTTTAAAAGCTCTTACTCCTTTTTGACGATTTTATTCATCCACGATCGCGCTACTTGATGGCGCAGGGTGTCTCAGGAGGGAGCTCCCGGCCCGTGACCTGGAGCACACCCGTACGTGTCTCCCATGCAGATCTGGGCTGGACTCACTTGTAACATTTTTAAATCTTTTAGCAGCAAAAGAACCCAACTAGCTGGCTAATATTCCATTTCTTTTAGCTGGCTAATATTCTATTTCTTCTTTTGCCCTTCTGAAAGGCAACATTTTGCTGTCTTTTTGCTTCTACAGATCTCTCCCAATGTAAAGGTTAGCATTTTTTCCAGAGGTTCCCAAATTTCTTCATTACATCTCCTAAACATCCCCTTTTAAATTGGGGGCTACATGTGTATTCAGTTTGTTCAGATGTCCTTTCAGCATCTTTTTATTCAGTCTTCATTTCTCCAGGTGAGTCTAGCAATTTCTGGGAATTTTCCTGTAAAAGATTCTTTGATGTTCTCCTTTTTCTTACTCATTTTATCACCAGCTGAGCCAAACTGGTATTTGAAATCTTGGTATTTTGTTTAAGTATGATGCAGTATATTTTGTCATCATGGAAACATAGCTTCAAAAACCAATTTACATTTTTGCTGTGGTCGTGAATAGTAATGATAGCTCTTTCACTGACAGACTGGGCTCTTTGACAGTCTGGTATTATTTTTATCCACATTTTTTCAGGAAGTTGGCAACAGGGTCTGCTGGAAAGCAGCTCTTCAGAGTCTCTTTCACTGAAATTGGTGGTTAATCAGCACTGTCTGTGATTTCTGACTGTTTCCCTTATACAGCAACAGAATTCAATATGAATTGCAAATAAAAGGAATCTCAACAGCATACAGTTATTCAGCATATAGAGTTGAACTAACTTTGCTCTGTTTTAAAACATTGCAGAAAAATGTAAAAAATTCTGGGCCTTTACCTAAGATTGATCACAAGTTGTGTAAAGTATTTTTTTTCCCAATCCATGTAGGTAAATAAAGAGCCAACATAATATCAAAACCATCAATACCAAAACGGGTGGTTTTGAAGACAGGATTTAAATACTTTAGCCTTAGCATAAAACTTGTAGAGCTAAGATTGGACTGTCCCAGGTGAGGTCTAAAGGTCTGAGTAGCTTCAAAACATGTTTATGCTTTGCCTATTTAAGTTCCTCCCCTAGACTTGCATGGCCTAAAGCATAAGAAAGAAAAAGCTCACACTTACTCATTTCAAGAGTCCCAAGGGCTATTTCTGTAGCCAAGATTAACCAGAGCTAATACCARAGCTATTTACACTGGGAGCTCTGATATGGCTAGAGGCCCCTGTTATTCCTGCTCTGTGCAGTCTAGAGAATTTCTCTTGGCTGATGATATTTTCCAGGAAACATTTCCACTTATTAGCCCTCTGTACATCACAGAWTTGAAAGTATCTTAATTCATGGCCTCTGTTGCAAACAATTTAGCTAGGCAAAAACCACCTGTGCATTATATGTCTATAGAAAAACATTTTGTAATTTACCAAGACCCATAGGAGATTATATTATTAAAACTTTGATGTTAAAAAGTACACACTATTTGCTATGTATCAAAATAAATTGAGAACCTAGTTGCAGTTTTTCATCTAAGAAGCTCCTAGGTGATTACTTGGTTTTATTTTCTTAATTGAGTTTAAAAAAAAAAAAAAAAAGCTAACTGGCTCAAATGTGTCTGTTTTGCTTTAACCTGGCATATTTTCTTAGAGTATTTTCAGAATGTCTTTGCAGTTCTTCAATGTGTGAGTTTAAACGCTCTTCAAATTCTTTGGTGTGCTTCTCTTCCTCTTGGAGGAACTTTTCTGTTGTTGCCAGGAGGGACATGTCAGGAGGAGACTGAGCAGTGGAGAGAGAGACATGGTTAGTAAAGAACAGCAAGTGCAGCAGAACTTTTATTATAAATATTTACATTTTAAGACATACACCAGCTAATACTCCTATGCTTTATATATATATGCTTTATAGCTCAGGATGCATGAGTTTCCGTGAGCAAACATGAGTTTCAGCCTGCATTTTTAAAGGTGTTCAACTGCCTGAGTGACTTACTATTCWTATTAGCTGTGATATTAAGGGCCTTAGCATGGAGATTTGCCCTTAAGCACTTCAGCACCTTGTTAGACAGACTTAAACTGCTTCAGAACCACCAAAACCCTTAGATAAGTGAAAGGCCRTGTTATAACTGAGGCCAGAAGAGAGTTCAAAAGTCTGGTTAGGGGAATTACAGAATAAATGTAACTAGTGTTGGGTACTGCTAATTGCTTCCTGTGACTCTGTCTCCCTGCCTCTTCTCCAGCTCASGAGGTGCTTTTGGTAGAAAGGAAGAAAATCTGTGCTCACTGCAGTCCTGTCACCTTGAGGCTCTGAAGTCACCTATATATTCATATAAGAACTGCAATACAGAGAGAAAGATAATTTTCTGTCCTTGTTTGAGAAGTTTTAAAGATAGCGCAATATCTTCTCAAGATATTGCAAAGATTATTAAATTTATTTTCTTAATGAAAATGTTTTAAAAAGAATTTCATTAACATAATTGATGAAGAGATTCACACTCCTGAATCTCTGCTTTTGTTTTTCCTACAAAGTAAAAGGTGAAGCACATGAAATAGAAAGGACCTAAAATGATTTAAATATTCAGATGGATTGTGGAAAGGCCAATTCTACACCACCTGTGAGTTTTTATTCTAGGATTCGTTATATCAGGCTTCAGAATGGGGTGTTTTAACAGCGACTAGAGGCAGATTCAATCTTTACTTTCAGCCTGCCTTTAAACTGCCCTTTAGTAGATTTTCAGACCAAAATACATTAACTATAGTAATGCTTTAAAGCACTATTCAATTCAAACTGTTTGCAACAGACCTTGAGATTGAATTTAAGGATTTCCCTTAGGAAAATCCCTTACCCTTTTTAAAAATAAAAATGATCAATAGCCAAAAATAAATTCTCTCTATAATAATGTCCTGATTATAATATACTGGATATATTACAAGCTTTCTGACATATCAGATTAAAATGAAATAAAGAGATAAAATAGAATTTTTCTTTTCTCAGTCCCTCCTCATTAGTGTTTTAATAGGGGTCAAAGAGGCACAAGAACACAAGGTATCGGATGACCTTGCTGCGCTACACTGATCTATGCTATCAACCCCTGCATTAGCCAGGAATTGTTAATCTGTCCGTGTTTGGCAAGGCTCTGGGAGAGATCACCTGCCTCATGTTCTACCTGATGAGCAGGTGCATGATTTCCCACTCATAAATCACTTGTTTTCAGAAGAGTTCCTGAGCTTTTGCCTGCCACTGGCACATTTGCTCTTTCCTGGGTTACAGTCAGGTAACTACTTTCCAGTGGCATTTGGATTCAACAGTAGAGTCAGCAGTACTATTTAAACTAGGAAGAAGGCTTTTGTACTACGAAGAGGACGTTGGATATGGAGGCTGGACTCCCTTTAAGAATCACTATATGTTTCATTTATTGAATATAAGCTCTGAAATCACTGAGTGATGCAGTGTCAATGTTGAGCAAATAAAATGCAGTGAGAGCATAAGGAGCATAAGGGCAAATATGCATCTAAAGTGTGGATTTCAAAGGTGCCATCTCCTATAGAAAATAAACATGTCAAGCATTTCCTTTCTGCCAGCAGACTGGCATGGGTGCTAAGTCCTCAGAAATGTTATATACAACTATATAAATGTTATATACAACTGTATGAGAGATTCTCAGAGATTCCTTACTACACTGTTCACAACTGCTAGCTTGTCTTAGGAACATCCTAGTGTTGCCATGAGGCCATCCTGCAAAATCACYGGGATCCTTTGCTTCAGTTGTGCTGGCTCTGATGTATTTTTCTTGAAATACAGTGTCAGCCCCAAGTGAGACACTTCTGAATTTCCTCAGAGATGAGAGAAGAGCATATATCACTTAGAGTAAGTAGACGATGGTTCTCTTTGKTTTTTTGCCTGTGTCAGACATCACTGACTACCTCTTTATAAAGGTAGCTGTTCACTTTTTTCATGTACTTTGAAAGAAAACTGAATCTAAATAGGTCTAAAAGGCAAAACTGATTAGGGTCTAAGCTCTGCTTTCTAAACTTCTGGCCTATTCTTTCCCCATGCTCTATATTCAATTCTATATTACTTTCAATACCTGAGGAACAAGAACTGTCCAGAATTGATCTCCTTGTGGCCCCATGAATTTGTGGTTGCACCTTCAGCCAGGCAGCTCGATAGCATGAGCGCCCAGGCCATTCTAACATTAAATGGCTCAATCATTCTTGCAGAGCAGCAGAGTTACAAGCTAAAGGTTGCTCATATTGAGTCCCTCTTCTTTTCCAGGAAAATTCTTGTATCATCAAGGCTAGGGTCACTAAGTTGGGGGCACTCTGGGTGCTTTCTTCTCCTGCAGGTGCACCCTACAGCTTAGGCGGCAGGTATAGATGTCAATCCTCTCAGAAGAATGTGCTTCAAATATGAACACCCGAAGTCAGGTGCCTAAGAAACTTTCAGGCCACATGAGAAGGCATCTAGAAGGCCTAAGCAGCTGGGTATTTAAGTACATAAGCACCTGGATACATAAGTACTCTGTGATTCTGTGATACTTAAGAGGAAGAGGCATGGACCACAGGGTGCCTTAGACTAGGATCAAGATGGTCAGAATCATTCCTGATAATGTCTAAGAGTAGAATTGCCACAACTTTCCATTACAATCTATTTCTTATGTGATTCCCCATCCTTAATGTTAGAAAGTTTCCTAACACGTTATCTAAATCTTCCTTGTTAGTGCTTAAGTATATTTTGTCTTACCAAGTCATTTGAAGAGAGGGATGACAAGGTATCCTGTGACTAGAAGTTAAAAATCTACACTGGGAAGCACAATGTTTCAGCTCTAGCTTTTTTTCTCTGGAAGAATTGTGTAAAAATGGACTATACTGGAACTGCAGCATCTTACTATATTTTTATTTCAGTTTTATATATTTTCTGCAGGAAAGATTAAACTTGATACCAGGGCAGTGGACTGTCCTAATGAATAGTTTTCCCAGAGGACTTCAAGCAACTGTTCTCTGAAATTGTTCATTTCTGGAAGAAAACACTCTCTGAACTACTGTTCAGAAAAGAAAAAAAAAAGCATCTGTATTTTGGAAACTTTGATACAGAAGTTTGGGGCCTGGGGATTCTCCAGTGAATCTCTTCTGAGGTTTCCAGTTCACTCTAATGGTGGCTTCAGTCTTCTTTATACATGTAACCTCTAAGTAAGAATGTAAAGAAACAGAGGTTCCAGTGAAACATTTACTAAGGTAGTTTGAAGATCTCTATTGGCAAAATAGACTACAGCCTTTGTCTAAAGCCCAAGAGTCTATTTTCTTTCTTCCCCAAATACCTTATCAATAAAGTATTTTGGTGGATTTCAGAAGGTCACCTTCAATTTCAACGTGTTCAAGTGGTGCTACAAATATTCTTCAGAAAACTCATCCTCTGTAACATCATCAAGGCGTTCCGAGCATGTAGGGGATCTCATTTCATAATTTCATGATTTYCATTCATGCAATGGCTTCCTATCAACTCAGAACTTGGTGGATGGGCTCTGTTTTAAAGCTGTGGTATCCAAAGTCAGTCTGAGTAATTGTTGAATTATGAATTATTTCTGGACCTGCACCTGGTTCGGGGCCACTTATTCGGACCTAATCTCAGTAAGAAAAATAGCAGTTTTTCTCATCATTATGGGCTTTGCTCATAAACCAACTSGAAGGTGTTTTCCTCATAGTTTAGTCAAATGATTTGGCATGGACCGTGTCTTGAGCACCACATATATTCCCTCTGTAGCTTGCCAGACTATCTCAGCATGGGCAGTTTCCCTGGGCTGGCTGGAAATGGAAGCTTTGTGGCCTGTACTCTCTGTCTGACACTTCTGAGAGAGGAGGGGATGAAAAGTGGAGTTTATCAAGCTGCCCTGGAAAAGCCCAATCACAAATTACTTTTGTGGTCAACAATTTAAAGAGGAATATTCCTAAGCCATAAGAAACCATGAAATAGTTATTTAATATTTTTGTGAAAAAAGTATAAAAATTGCGTGAGGTCAAAGACCTAGGRCTACATGGTTCTCTTCCTGTTCTCTGACTACTGACACCCTGCTCCTTGTCCACAACCAGGAAACAGCTCCACTACAATCCCTGCTTCACAGGACAGACCCTCACTCTGGTGCTGCTGCTGAAGACAACATTCCTGAGCCACGTTTCCCATAGGAAAGGATAGCACMTTTCTGAAATGGGCTGTAGACCTGAGGAATGACAATCACAAGTTACTTGAAGAAGCTGATGATTGTTGCCATAATGATGTCTCTTCTCTCCTACTTAATGTGGCAAATGGGAAGAAAATTGCCAACTGCTTCTCCTTAGTAAATGCTGAAGTACAGTCTTCCCTTACCTCTCTTTACAGATGTTGGCCACACACCTGCAGTTCAGGATGTCTGGATACAAAGATTTATGCATCACAGCTGGACAGAGAGATGCCTACAGTCCATTCCTCACTATCCTGTTAGTCTCATTATATAAAGTTGGTGCAATTGCATGGTTTGAGGTCTGGGAAATAAGTGCTAAATTTTCAAGTGGAAAAAAAGATTACTGACTAATAGGGATGCCTAGGGAGGAATAAAGGATACTAAGGAAGAGGCTAAAGACATCTGGAGTCAGAGCGTTCTGCAGAGATTTTTCTAAGTGGCCATAGATGAAGCAGGATCTATTCTACTAGTCATGGAGATTGTTAATCTCCATCCTATGAAGAGTGACGGAAAAAAAGATGCACTATTTTTCTTTCATTTCAAGTGAAAAAGAAGGATTACAGCAGTTATCACTTCTGTTTGTTTTTGGATACCATGGCTAACACATGGAAAATGCTGGAATTYCTCAAACTTCACTCATTAATGCTGTAGAAACTCGATTTGTCTGGCAGTGCATTATCTTACTTAAGACAGTAAGTTTGCAGGTATTTTGGAAAGGCATTTAAAGCAGAGTGCCCAGACTGAAAGCAACCAGCTAAAACTTACAAATTTCCCCCACAGTTACATAATGGCAGGTGATTATCACTGTCATTATTATTATGGAGGTACGGCCCAATAGGGGGTGTTTAATCTTCAGAAAAACTGCATTTATATTAGGATAAGGTATTTCTGCTTGTGCTGGGCTGACATTGTAGTAATAATGATGACAAGGCTACTGTAATTTTTAACTCCTTCATGTTTGTATTTCTCTCCACGAATGGATCTTCGAGAATATCTGTGTTAAATGGAAAGAGTTACTTACTGGTAAGTTGATCTCTTCTGTGCTGTAAGTACAGCCCAGCAAAATGCCTGTTCTACCTTCTTCAGAAGGCAGCCCATCGGAGCACAAAGGATATCCCTTTGGTGGGGATGGAGATTTTCCATCCAGATCCTGCTCATGCCCTCTATCAAGTTTATGAGAAGTGCTGCCACATTTGGAACCAATGATATCACCTTGGCCATACAAAGTGGGACTACAGTCCCTGTGGTATCTATCGGCTGTGAACATAGCAGTTTGTTGAGGTCTCATTTGCCATTCATCTTCATTTTGGAAAGTTCTAAAATAGCAACAAAAATACAAAGTCAAAGTATGAAAAACAGTTAAAACTACAAGCTATCATAGCAAAGCCACTTCTTTTTCTGTTCATTTTTATAATTTTGATTAGTCAGTTGTTCAAACTGCTTCAAGCATCAAGCTATGGGCATAAGATTGTACTTCAGAAAATTGCAGCAATTTAGCAAGTTGCCACCTGCCAGCCAGTTAATGTAAATGCCTGGGTGTGCATTTTCTGTCTGCYTCAGTTGTGACTGAAATTATGCTCCTTTAAACCCTTCCAGTGGAGCTTGAGTTGACTAACCTTGCTGAATAACTGTGTATGACTATACTTGCTGTATAAGAGCTGAAAGCCAGACACACTTCAGGGATGTGAAGCAATCAATATTCCTCACCTATTTGTTGCCAGTCTTTTGCCAAAGGTTATCATCCCTTTAGCTCCTTGGTGGAAGAAGAGATGTAAACACCCTTCAGACAGGTCTTGAAAACTTAGCTTATGGTATAATAGGGACTAGAGTGAAGTTAACCACACAAATACAAGGGAAGAAAATAAAGTATAACTGAGATAAAAAAAACAAACTATTAGTAGTGGTCTGTGTAAGGAGTAAATTTTGATCTAATTATATTTTTAAAAATATATTCAAAAGGCTAGAATTTAAAATAGATGTTTAAATCAATTAAATAAAAAACAGTAGAGGAGACTTTGATCCTGCACCTTTGCTTCCTACAGTAATTGAGCCATGGATTTAATGAGAACACAAYGGAGATCAATCTAAAAAAAAAATGAAGACATATCGAAAATACATTTTTAAGTGCACAAGAACATGTTCTTTATAATAATTAAAACTTTACTGGCTACAAAAGTATTTTAAAGAATTTTATAACATTGTTCCACAACCTTGCATCCTGCTTACAGTGATCACAATGGAGGTCTAAGCATGTATGTGAATTCATTTGTAGTTTTGTCAAACAAAACCTATTGTGTTTACCTTCAACTTAAGGAGGGCAAACTACTTGCTTCCCATTCAAGATCCCTTTTTCTCCTGACTGTTAACTCAACGATTCTGAAACCATATTGGTAAAGAGCAGAATTTTGAGACCAGCTTGCCCAGATGTTTGTTGAATTAGACTATTTTCCAATTGCATTTTTACTTGCATTATATATCAAAGACATGCAAAACAAGAAGGTTCAGTTATTTCGGATTTTATTACATTCCTGTTAGAATACTTCTGGCTATAGTAAAATTTCCCATTTTAYTGAAATCTAATAGAAGATAAAAGAGATTTTTTTATCTTGGAAGGTACTTAACATACAGCAGCTGTTTAAACCTACTCTCTATCCTATCCATTGAGAGGATCCTAAAGCATTTTACTGACATGAAATGCAGATATAAGAGCTTTTGAAGCTCAAATTCCCTGCCACTAAAATGCAGTTATTATGAATCTCTGTTCTAGGGAAACCAATAATAATAATAAAAAAAAGCCAAGCACAGAGAAAAGGGCAGTGCTTTCTTCAGAAAGATCACACCATCATCTTCTAACCTTGGTTTAAATATTTACTGCTAGGAAAGGTTAGCTGTGCAGTCTTAATGGATACTGCTTATACAAGAGCTCCTTGGTCCTAAGACTTGAGACTGAGAGAATACTCCATAAATGAACAGTACAGAATACCTCAGAGAAGTAATGTAGAGTGTATTTGTCTTTGATTATTAAAAAAACACCTATTAAAATAGGTGATAGGAAAGGAAATTAAAAGCATGATGCTATCCTACTATTAGTACTATTATTCATTGCAAGATAAAAGTCTCTGAGAATATTTACAAAACCTTTCAGACTTTAAAGTCATCTAATATGTTTACCTTTCCTTGGGTAGAATTTTCTCCTTTCCGTCTTGCTCTTCATTAAATAAATATACTCTGCTCTTTTGTGCACGGAAGAAAATCCTTTCTATCTTAAAGTCCATTCTGTCTATTGTTTGGATGAAGGGCAGCATTAAAAAAATGCCACAACTGAAGATAAATGGCATGAATAATAAAATCTCAGACTTTTTTTCATCCTGTCTTCTGACCTTTCTGAAAGTAATTTCCTCTGTAAACCCACAGCAAAAATGCTACGTGATCTGTGTGTGTGTGTGTTATTATTATTATCCGAGAACTGGTTCTCTATACATTTAATAACAGTTATTGCTGTTATGTTATAGCTTACTTCAGTAAGACCAGCGTTTTCAAACACATGTGCCTATAGTTATCAGGGCTTTGAGATGGCAAAAGTGGAACACACAATGGCCTGCACACACACATACAAGCAGCACTGCAAGAAAGGGACCTGATTTTTTAAGGGTCCTCCTTTTCCTGCTAGGGTCCATTGGATGGCTGCTGCTGCTTGCCGTCTTGGAAGAACATGCACCTACGTTAAGGTGCTTTGACACAGGGTTTTCTTTAAAGAGATTTCACAATTTGGGTTGAAATTTCTGCCAGTTCAGTGCAAACTAATATCTAGAAAGTGAGTTCTGGTCTGAATGCAAATATGAATGCCTGCTTTTTATTTTTTTTTGCACTGGCAATGCTAATTCTCTGCAACATATGATTTCCTGTGTTTGCCTTCATAGAGTATTTCACATATGCACATACTTCACAAAGAGAATATCACTGTTGACATGAAGACAACGTGTTGACATGAAGACAACATGAAGTGAAAGAGCTACAGCCTTGCAAAAGGAATTCACACAGGTAGGACACATTAATCCCAACTCTTGAATGTGGAATCAGCCTCATTCTTCTGAAATCAATGACCTGAGTGGCACCAACAAAATCCCAACATGGCTTGTGTTGCTTTACATGCCTATTCTTGAGAAAGAAAAAATAGAACTTTAATGAGCACAATGTGCTCAGAATTAGTGTTTTGCTTTTGCCTGTTAAGTGTAACTGCTGACTTGATTTAAAAACAGAAAAGGGCTAAAAAGCATTTTCCTGAAGAGCCTTATTGCTCTGCTGCTCAATTTATCTGTTGCCATAAGGGAGACCACGCTCGGTTTGCCTGAGGCTGTGCAGCCTCCAGAATGGGGAAAACCTCCTTGAAACACAGACATCCCACAGGACCCTTAGGAGATCCCTGCCGACCTTATCGGTTCATTCCCCTTCCCCCTCACTTCTGCCAGGTGATCAAAGTGCACTTTGCCTTGGCCACTTACCTAATTTGTGTATATGTTTATGGTAATAAACATATTTGTATATGTCAATATAAATATATTATATATATAAATATATTAATAAATATAAATATGTTAATATTATATGTTTAAACATCTATTTATAAACATAAAATTTTTAATTTGGAAACTCACACGCATGTTTTCATTTCCAAAAATAAAAGGACTCAACACATCTGTTCCCTCAGGGAACTGTTAGGATGTGGGCCCAAGCTTTTCTGGCAAAAGATGCTACTCCTCCACCTGCTACTCTGTAGTATTTACAAACTGACTGTATATTGAAAGAAAGAAGAAATGCTCCTTAACCACCAGTATAACCATTGCCTGTAATCTCCTAAATTTTCCCTAGAGATCTCCCACCTAATTTATGACTGTGCCCATGCCTCAGATTCCAGGGCTGCTTGGGATGATGAGCCTAGGAATAGGACAGCACACAATTAGTTGAGGACTAACTAGTCCATGGCATTATTCCATGGTACAGGCACTTCTAGGTTTCTGAATATAAATGGCTAAAAGAAGCCTCGGGGTGGCCAGTGATGRGACAAGRGGCAATGGGTATAAGTTAAAACACAGGCAGTTCCGTCTCCATGTGAGGAGGAACTTCTTCACTGTGAGGGTGACAGAGCCCTGGAACAGGCTGCCCAGGGAGGTTGTGGAGTCTCCTTCTCTGGAGATCTTCCAAACCCGCCTGGCTGCCACCCTGTGCCCCGTGCTCTGGGTGTCCCTGCTGGAGCAGCGGGGTTGGACTAGATGAGTCTAGAAGGTCCCTTCCAACCTCARCCATTCTGTGATTCTGTGAAAAAGCACTTGCAAATTGCCATTTACAACACAACCCTACATCCCTCTGCATGAACACCAGTTTTTTTTTTCTTTTTAACTATTTAACAAAGGTCTTTTTGCCCTTTCTCCAGTACCATAATTACCATGGAAAACAAACTGCAAATTAAAACACAAAAACAGGGTTTATACTCACTATAARACAGAACATACCCCAAAGTTAAATTCAACCCAAACAATTGCCTGCATTACCTGTATACATTTGATACTAGAAAATTCTGTTGTTTGAGGAAATCCTGTTTGTAAGTGGTTGGATAACAGTGCATAGAGGGCTCAGGCTTAAGAAGACTGATAGGCTGATATGTGTACAAAAGGCATGCAGAATTTGCACATYTTTTAAAAGCTGTATATATGCTTATGGTAACTAAATAGCCTTTAATTTACGAACACAAATGCATGTTTAGATCCTGAAAAAACAAGCTCAGCACATCTGTTTCATCAGTGTATGGCCCATCACATCTCTTAGATYTATGGTTGATTATGATAAATGTTTCAGCACTTGGAAGAAAATCCTCYGCATCGTCAACAGCCCAATCATGCCTATTTTCAACAACCACAAATACTTTTTTCCCTCAAACMTAAGCAGGCAAATAAAGAGGTGTTAATGCAGAATTTTCTTTCTCTGTTGGCATCTTCCTTGCCAACTTAAATTTTCCTGATTTATAAAGCTCTTTGTTATGTCTATTGACCTCTGGGTAYGCATTTTCAAAATCCGTTGAAATACAGCACAAGTAGTTGAAACAATATTTCAAAAATGCCCAAGATCACTTTTCTTTGAGGTAGTTAAAACTATTAATTAGAATCATATTTTAAAGTGTGTTCAGTAGTTCAGTTGAGATTTCTGATCTGAGGAACATTGTCTCTCCCAGTTTTGGTTTAATGTTGGTCTTCCATGATCAAAATTCAGCGTGTTACCCACATACTTGCAGTGTCTGTTACACTTAATTTCTCATGAATAATTCCACAGGTCCTTTTGTAAAGTAATTCCTTAGAAAATTTGGAAAATCTTACTTTTTCTGACTTAAAAATAGTAAAAACATAAGCACAAACCTGCCACTTCCATATACGCATATACATATTACACACATGCACACATGAATAGTACCTCAAATACAATACATTGAATTCAAAAAGTAATTTTAGGCAAGATTGAGCCAACAGTGGATGACTTTTTATTATTCAGAAAGAGAATCACTTTACATTTTGCAAAATCTAAATGTAAATCTAATCTAAATGTTCAAAATGTTTTCCTCTTCATTTTTCGGYTCTCAATCATTTAAACTTTGCTTGACAGACCTCTTTTACTTCAGCGCTATATATTATGTAATGCCAAAATATTTTGTTTTCTATTAATTTTACTCTCCTGGTCTGTGTAAAACATATTTAGTGGAGATTTTAATTTTCTTTTTATYACTGTAGCACCATGATCATAATGTGTTTGTAGGTAATTCAGTGATTGACTGAATACAAGGAATTAAGAAGTAAAGGCACAGTCACAATATGCTTTCCATGATGCTCATTATTCTTAAGCCTCATTATTTTTCCCTAAAAAAGGAGTTTGATGTGGTAATGATTTATTTGGGACATCAGAAATCATGTTTCTTTTAAAAATCAGGCCAGCCAAGAAYGCCAAACTTAGCGAAGGCTTTAAAGTGCATCTAATGAAACTGCCAACAAACAAAGTTAGGAGGCCACAAAGCTTTTCAGCAGGAGTCGTAGTTCAAACTGCTTATTAAGATACCCTCCTGCAGAGCAGTTTACCTCTCATGTTGGTTTGTATATCCTTCATTGTCTTGTTCTTATTTGGCAGTAGAAATATATTCTGTTTTGCAAAACCTAGGGCAAGGAATAGGCTTAATATTAAAAGTATTAAAATAATAATCAAACATTTCTTGGGCTTTACTTATTGTCAAATTCAGTTAGCCAACAATAAGTAAAAAATCTTACAAATATACTAAGTAGGTGGTCTTTTGATCTTTATTATAGAATTCAGATACAAAAGGGAAGAGGAAACCTGCATTATTTTACAGGTACTAATTTACTGAGAAATAATTATAAGATTTTGATATTAGATAAGTCTTTTCACATGGAAYCAGCTGACATGCATATGTTGGGATTAATCTCTCCTTAATCTAGATACTTCTGAATCAACTCATCAACATGGTTTCCACACAAAGGGACCAGTTTGTAGCCATCCAAAATGAGATGTACAAAGGTTCATGGGCATCTAAATTACTTTTTTTCTGTTTTGTTTTGTTTTGCAAATGCTCAGCAAGTCCTTCATACATATTTATTCATTTGGAATTTATTCAAGCTCATTTTTCTAATGCAGATCCATCATTCCACATCTAAATCTACCCATCTGGAAAACGTCGATTCTAAATAAAACATATAGACACGAACCAAGGATTTTGTATAGAGAGACTCAGTAATAACTTCTCCCCACACCAAAACTCCCTTTGTTAGAAGGCAATAGAGAGATGGGAGAATTAGTGAATTTGACTGCAAGGAGATTTTTAAGTTACAGTGGAATCCAAACTACTGAATTCTTAGAACCTGTCTACCTAAAGCTGTCCTTAAAAATCTCAAATTTGAAGTCAACTCTTCTTTTCACCTATGCTGCATTTTTGCCGTCATATCCCATAGTACTTGCACTGCATCCTGTCTTATGTCCTATCCATTATTTTTGGGAACCTGAAACATGTGGGGATTTCCCTGTGCTGCAGTTGTTGCTCTGGTTAGTTGWCTTGAAGTCTAATGCCTGGCCGTGCTCAGGAATTTTTATTTGCTCAGTGAACCTCTCAAGGCTTTCGTAGCATCCACTCGTCCACTTCTCTAATTTTCCAGCTCATGCCCTACATCCCTCTCTGCCTCAGACTTGCCTCATTTGTACTATTCTGTTAGAATAATGTTTCTGCTGCTTGTTGGTAGACTAGGACAAATAGAAAACACATTGACATTCCCTGCTGTATGGGCTCTGGATGGTGATCTAGTGTGGCAGGGGAGAAATGACGGTCTAGCATTCTCACAGACTGTGAACCCTGGTTGACTTCTCACCATGATCTGATAGGTGTTACTCCTTGCTTATCTGTTCAGTATGTTTTCTGTTTTCTCTTGTTCTGTAAGTTTTGTAGTGTAGTAGCTGCCAGTGAAAGAGCAGCTACAGAGCCCAAAGATTTGTGAGAAAAGGAGCTGGGATAGCAGGCCTCTAGGCCTCTAGGCACCCATCATGTCTAGAAGCAATGGCTAGACACAGAGGGGAGRTAGAGAGAGGTGTAGAAGGCAAGGAAAGGTCTTCCTCAGAACAAAGATCGATTTGATGTGACACAGGTTGACTGCCTTTCTAAAGTGTAACTGGCCTTCTCATCTCAGGGAGCTCCATTACACCTAAAGGAGAGYAGCTAATTTGAGTAGCGGAAAAAGTGCTTTTTGGCCACTAACTTAGGGGAGACATGTGGACCAACGTGGCTAAGGAACTTGTCCAGGACTCCAACCCTCATCTCAGCTCTGTGAGCTCTCCAATTTGAGAAGAAGAATCAGCTTGCTAGCAGCTCCCCTCACTTCTGAAAGTAATGAAAACATCCTTTCAGAGCAGGAAGCTGCGAAACTCATGTAAATGCAAAGCACAGCTTTATTTATTTTGTAACTATTGAAGTCTGAAAGCACTGAGTTTATCCAGCCTTTCCATGGTAATGACATTCATATACAATGCCAGAAGCAATCTCTGCTCACCTTAGCTTATTAAAAATAACTTGTATTGTATCCAGATGACACTCTGATATTTAAATTTCAGGGAGGAAGCACAGAAAGGTGCTTCCTTTCTGTGGTAAGAGGATAACGATAGGAAGGAACTGCAGAATAATTAACAGTCAATGAGTTCTTTTCTCTTTTCCAATACCCAGCAATTAGCCAAGATTCCCTTCAGGGATCATATTGTTCTGAAATCTCATATAACACAGATGAATCCAAGCTCATAAATACAATAATTTCTCTAGAAACTGTATAGGAAGAATTGCACACCCAGATAACGGTATCATGTAGGTCTAGGACTGCCCATTGCTGCTGGAAGGACTGTGTTTACAAGTAGGTACCAGAGTCATTATGTTCCCCTCTCTAAACAGAGTATCACTGAGCCTATTTTGAAGCAAAATTATACTATATGCCTCAGATACAGACACAATGAATCCAGGGCATCTAGGCTGAATTTGGGCTAGTTGGATCAACCCAATTCTCCACGCATGAAGACAAGCATGAAGAGAATGCTATTTGTAGGAATCCTTTTGGTAACCTTTAATAATAGGACTTGGATAATCTACACAGTATAATTCATCTTTAGATGTGGACTCCACTGTGCTCATGAGCCAAATTCTTGCATTTGCCTGAGTCAAATGGAATTCCAACTCAAGATGGGGATGCTAAAGCATTTCACATGAAAAATAGTATCACTGAGCTCTTGGAGCACCAGCTGCAAATCTGCCTGTTCCAGAACTATGCAAAATAAATGCACTTTTCACTTGCCCCAAAATGTTTACAGTTATACATGTTTACATTTTTTAAGAAGTCAGACATATACACTGCTGTTAGTAAATTATTTTGTGATGAAGGGCCTGAAATTGCCTGTATCTGAAAATATTCACAGAACAGTATTCTCATTTAATTTTAAGGAAGGAGCTGAAGAGTGCAGAACTACTGGAAGGAAATGTGGACACTTTGGTTTCTTGACTAAGGATACACTTCAGTTATGGTTTTTATTAATGTTATTATGCTTTCTGTACATGAGATCATGGAGCAAAAACCAGATAGTTGTTTACTTCTATTCATCTACCTTTCTAAATAATACTTTAACATTTCCCCTCATAACTCAACATGATAATGTGACAAGCTAGTACCAGACTATGAAACATATTCCTGGCCAGCCTCTCACTTTGACTGCAGGATAATTTAAGATTGATAAACTACTTTTTTTTTTAATTATTATTATTTATTGTGGAGTACTGTTTGTCTTATCTAGTGTTGTAATGCAGATCCAAGTGCAAATAAATCGCTGTAGTTGTATGCATTCTTCAAAAAAGTTCATATAAGTAGTTCAGAAAGCTAGATACAGTCTGACAAATAGGTTAACTCTTCTGAATGAAGAGAAACAGAAAAAAAATATCTTAAAGACTTTGACTTTCTTACGTGCTTCTAAAGAGACTTACAGAAAGTTTCATACACTTGGAGAGTCTGCAGTATTACCTGTCTTCCTTTTCTTGCATCTTTGAATGAGCCTGGTAGCTGTGCTCTGTTTCCTTACAAGTATCCACGGCATCCAGTCTTGATGCTTCTGTGTTATTTCGTAGTTTAATGAGACTATTTCGCAATCTTACATTCTCATGTCCCAGTTTGTAAAGGGGAGCTGTGTAGCTTCCATGCTTTTGATTAGATAAATCTATACTCTGTGAAAGGAGATAAAATTCTCATTAAATAGGCATTATTTCACAACAAATGTATATTAATATTTTCAGCAAGCAAACCTAAAGCAATGTTCTGTGCTAAAGACGTAGCTGCCATATATAATCATGCAGCACTTAGAGCAAAGCAATGGAATTGCCTCTAGAAGAAAAAAAAAAATTTTTTTTTAAAAAGAGAGAGAAGGGATAACAGCCTGTGTAGCATATTAAAACAAATTAAAATTTCTCAGCAAACAGTGCATTCAAAATATTATTTTTTTTTTAAATTCATCACTTGCTTTGCAAAACCTATGACATAAAAGCAACCAAAACATCTCAAGCTGTAGATTTTTCAGCTGTATTSCTCCTCCCAGTGATGCTGCCACCAGAAATAACAAAAATAATCAGAAATTCATTACTATACTAGAATTAAGGTATATYTAAAGGCTCAATTTACTAAGTATGTGGAGATATTCAGGCTAGGTGTGAATGAGCTACCTGCAGGTTTAGAGGCAGTAACCACATCAGCTCAGCACTCACTGTGTCACAACATGCGGCTTCCAGGTCGGGGGCAGCCCACCTGGTACCCAGCTCGGGATGCTGGAACACAGCAGCACCTGCCCAGGCATCCCAGGGCTGGGAGAGGCCCAACCACTGTGATGTCCAGAGGCAAATTAGCTCTGGAAGTTGGTCAGCCAGGATATCTCATTCTGTTCTTGCACTATCCCCCTTCCATGGAGTCCATCTGCTTTAGCTAAGTCAGAATTCTGCCTCGCTGACAAATACTTCATTTCACAGTGTAAATACATTCTTACCTAAAGCATACTGCCAGTCATAAGGAAATATCTCAAAAGACTTGTCAAATTCTGTGCAATAGGCTAAAAAAATCCTTTGCATTTTATTAGTGTGCTTGTATGTATTTGAGGGTCTGCATTATTCTTTCAGAGACCAGTAATTTATGAAGATTCAGCAGCTGGTTTTGGTGTATCACTAGCAAAGCGTGGTGTGGGTGGTTATACCTTCACCCAACAGGCACAACCTGTGCAAAGGCTGGTCCCTTTCTTGTGCCAGCTGCTCTGATGCTATCTCTCCCTATAAATCTTGCCTTGCTAAGCTGGTTTTTGGACAATAGGATAAGGAAGGGTGTTACGGAAGTGACAAAAAGTATAAGAAAATGAAACATTTTGCCAAAGAATAGCAAGATATGGCTCAGCTATGTCTGCCAAAGCGACAGCAGAGGGGCAACAGTGCAAGGAGGGAGCTGAGTCCCCTCAGCCTCTAACAGCCAGACCAGAAGGAGCAGAGTTATCCTGGCATGAGCCCCTCAGCTGGGTTACCCTGTGGCCCTGCCAGAGGGATATGTGTATCCCTGGGTATATCTGTGTATCCCTGCCACTATCCCCGTGTCCCTGCTATTGAAACCCAAAGGGGCTGCAACTTTAACGTCCGTGATCCTGAATGTTTAGATCCTCAGAACACTCCAGTGGAGTAGGAAAACACTATTAGGTCCCCCAATGTATCACAGTGGTATCTATAAGTGGATGTTACTGTTGCGGTTAAAAACCACAAGGGCTGCAAGATTTCTTGTCATACAACAATTCTCTGTCTCTGGGAAGGATGTTGTTGTGGAAAAGAATGAGACACCCACACAATAATAAATCACAGGTAAACATATGGATGGATGTATAGGTAAAAGATCACTGGGGGAACCTATCTGCCAGTTTGAGGAAATGGAATAATGTGACTTTTTCTTCAGGCATTTGTCAGTTTACAATAAACAGGCTATGAATTCCCCCAAGACRTTCTTACAAGCAACATTTCTGTCTCTTTCTAGCATCAAATACAATAGCTATAGATGGTCTATGTGTAGGGGAGGTTTTAAAGCTGTTTAGTGATAGGCAGTGTTGTAATATTTATACCTGCTCTTATTCTGCATGATTATGTGGCATATGTTTCAATAAATTAATTTAAACTAGCCCTTCTTTGAAGAGAAATAAATCCTAAGCTCTGAAAATAAGCTGGCAAATGTTATTGGCATTTCTTACACTAATATTTAAATGTCATAACAACAGAGAGCAAAGAAATRAAAAAAGGACATCTGCGAGAATTATGACAGTAAAAAACAAATATTTTGTGAAATCAGTGAAACCACTACAAGGTAAATGTCCGCACAATATCTTTAGTGTCTAGACAAAGTTATGGAAAATTTTACCTTATTACTGTTAAGGTCAAAACCATTCCTAGTCTGTGGGCTATGCGTGAATACCACTTGTTTCTGATTATGCTGCACAGTTTTGGGATGGTTCATACAGTGGGATTGCAGCAGTCCATGGGTTTGGAGATACCCGTGGCCCTCTTATTTTTACCTTTTATTTTTACAATCTAGAAATGTCTAAATCTGCAAGSACCTCAGTCTATATTTTCCAGAAATATAAGAACTTACCGTGTATCTTTTACACTCCTGGTTTTCCATCATCTCTTTTAGATGTGTGTTTTCAYATTTGACAGCTTTGTATCTGAAATCCAACAACTGGGGAAAGATCAAATACTTAGTTACAACTAGGAGCAGATTAAATTCTTAGTTGAATTCAAACATACTACAGTTAACTTGAAAAATGAGTATAGATATGTGCAATKTTAATATTGTACTTTACTCCAAACTTGCAAAATGAATTGTGTAACCRCAAATTTTACAGCTCTGCTGATTAAAACTACAGCAAGAGGAGTATTTTTTTTAGCAGTTAATACAAGTCATTATCAGTACCATGGGGCAGCATGACCTAGGCTAGTTTTGCCTGCTTTCGTACCTGTTGTTTTGCTAACAATTTGTCTTTTATCTCTAACTCCATTTTTAACTGTCTTTCCAGAAGACTAGCTTTCTCCATGATAGTTGCTATAGTGATCTCCTTCTGATGAAGCTCTTCTGTCAGGTCAGAGATTTCTGTCCTCATTCTTTCCTGCTCAGAGCAATGGGACTGCTCCTCTTGATAAAGATGGTCTCTTATCTGCAGCAAATATGTTTCAAAAGAGAAAATGTTGTGCTGTAAATAYGATTGCATTACTTGTCATCAACTAGAGACTTTTTTTTTTTTGCTGTCTGCTTCCAGGACACCAACCTTATAACTAAATCAGATATTTTCGAGATTTTATAATAAAGTCAGAGCACATAGCTTTATTTATTTTTATGTGTTCTTGCAACCATCAGTAGCTTTTTCCATTCCCTATTTAATATTAAAAGTGAACAAAATAACAAGTATTTTAATTAACTTTAAAAAATAATGTAATAAAAATAATGTTAACTTCAATAATTGGGATTTATGACAAGCAATACCCACACAAATGTTCACTAAATGTACCTAAGTATCATTTACATACTCTTAAATTAATTCAGGCTATATTAAAAATATATTAAACTAAAATAATTTAGAGAATCTTTCATGAGAAACTATATAAGAAAKAAAGAGTTTAATATGGTAGATCATTCTGGGAGAATTTTGGCTGCCATTACATGTAAAAATTAAGGTCAAATTATCTGCACTGTATTCTAACCAAATAATTATCCAAAGAATCAACAGTGATTATTGTTTTCATAATCTTTCTACTAATAACAAACAATTTAATATGACAGRATTTCATCTTACATAAAAAGTATAACTACAAAACCTAGCCTAGCTGCTTTTGCACTATTTTAATTTCTCACAGTACTGCGTGCAACAGTAACAGATGGTATTTCATTTTTATTTATGCAAACTACACAAAAATCCGCGAATTGTAAACAAATAGATGTAGATGTGAAAATCGGAGAGCTGCATCGTGACTGCCAGGCCAGATCTGCAGCAGCCTCCAAGCCAGCTGCGTCCAAATACAGATGTTCCTACTTACACCACTACCCAGCAAAGCACAACGTGCCTCTAAGCAGAGCTCTTGGCATCCTCTAAACCAGTAGCATTTTGACCTGGATTTGTCACAGGGGGTTGTATGAGATGACCTGCTGGCATATCTTACATATGAGACCACCTAGAGCCTACCACTTACCTTCTGCAGCCTATTTATCATCCACGGCTGCAGAGGGCTGATTAAGGTATTACCTGAACCACAGAGAATCAAGAGTATTGATTGTGCAGCCACTCAGTTACTTCCAGGAATACAACATCTACATAAACTCTTGCTCTCCTTCTGTAACTACAATATATCCTCCTTTCCCTCTCTTATGCATAAGCACATACCCAAGGTCCATATTTTGTTCTCTACTTCTAAAATTCTGTATTGGAGTTAAGATCCGAAAAACCTGAAGAATATGAAATACCTTGTTTTGCTCTTCTTGTTGGCTTTCTTGACTTTCTGCCAATGCTAAAATCTCCCCATTTTGATTTTCTAGTTGCTTAGTAAGTTGTGCACAAGATGATTGATGCCTTTAAGCAAAWAAACAAACAAAACCGTGAAACATGCAGGAAGCTGAAGCTTGCAGTATCTTGTTCTCACTGCAAAACTAGGGAGGACCTGCTCTCTGATTAAAAAAAAAAGCAAAAGATTTGGCTAAGCCAAGTTGGATTTGGGGATATTTTGAGAGAGTAACGTTAATCTAAGTGTGTTCAGAATGAATTTTGAAATGTTTTGTAACTTAATATTTCATATAATCTCAAATAGCTGTGGTAGAATATACACCTATTAGATAAACAATAAAAAAGATCAAGATTTTACTCAAAAGAGGTTAGGGAGAATCTTTATCACTCTATTTCCAAAACATTTTAATACCAAGAAATGGAAAGAACTCTTAAACTCATCAATAGAAATAAATGAAATAAATTTATTTGTAAATATTTAAGTACCTTAAAAACCTTTTAACAGATGTAGCACCTACTACCTGAAATCTTGTCATATATAATTGCAAATGAAAACATTAATTCAAAACCAGAATCTGATATTTGAATCTAGGGTATCTTTTTAAACAGATGCAGTTTAAATCAAACAGAAAAAAAAAGTTATTACCTCAAAACTTAGCAATTTAAGATACTTAGTAATTCAAATACTACCTTTAAGACACATACTTTATTTGAATTTCGTGCATATCTTTTTGCTGTCTGATCTTCAATAATTCTGTGTGCAGCTGTTGGCATTCCAGCTGTATCCCTCTCCAGAGAGCATCCCGTGATTGCAGCTCATTTTTCATCTCTGAAAAGCCTGCCTCCATGTTCTAAATAATAAATATACAAATACATAGGTAAATAATATGAGACAGCAGTAGCTCAAAATGCTATATTTTGATACTTATTTTCCAACCAACACCTAATTTTTCATATTTGTACAAAACATGTATGAAAGAAGTTAAAAAATGCTTCTATTTTGAGTCATATTTTTGAAGAAAGAATGACTTTGAACAGGTTTTCTTATGTTAGGTCCTTCCTCCAGAAATGTCATTAAAAAATGTGATATAGAACATTTTTTAGCTTTTACGGTGTTCCAATGTATCAGGTCGTTAAACTTCCATAAGGAAACCTCCTCTAGAAGTTCTTCATCATAACAAATGCCTGCAAAATACATCATTTGCTTGTTTCTATAGGCTCTAGACCCCATTAGTATGCTTCATATGCAACATTTAATGCCATAAATAATGTGCATTTTTGTATTTTCTTAGTAGCATTTTCACCTCTATAAACTTGAAAACTGGGAAGGGCAGGATTAGATGTAGGTCTTTGGTAAATGTTGCCTGGCACCTTGGGGTTGATGTGTACAGATTGATGCATTTAGATAAAAGGTACGTGCTCAGTGTCCTCCAAAACTAGTCCTATGTGTATGGACATAACTGCTTATTTAAATGGACATCATCAAATGTTCAAACAAACAAAAAAGATTTTTCTATCCACTCTATTTCACCTCTTATTTCTGAATGAGAATGTGATAGACAACTTAAAGAGACATGTTATATCTGAAACCATAAAATCTGAATTCCTATAGTAATGATGAAAAATATGCTACATATCTACTAAAGATACAACTTAAAAATATAACCCACAAATAACAAAAGTAGCAACAATCATTGCAATAATAATAACCAGAGAAAGTTGACTTCCTACTATCCAACACCCCAAACATAATGYAAAACACTGTTCAAGGTAAAAGATTTTCCAAGGATATCGATTCTTTGCCTTTAAAAGACTACACTAAAAATGCTAGTATTTTTAAAACGTCTTCATCTTATTTCATTCCCAAGTTTAAAAGCAAAAATAAAGCTTTTAAACTTTCAAAAGACATCTCTCAAAAATAAAAATAAATAAATAAATAAATAAATAAATAAATAAATAAATAAGGAAAATGAATCCAGAAAGGACACTGTGAGCAAGGGACTTCAAAGATTTCTGTCCCTTAGAGGTTTTAGAGCCTCATATTAGAATGACCTTCCTTCCAAGGGGCCTGTGGTTTCCCTTTGGCTGCAAGGGCTGCTGCAGAGTTTTTGGTGGGGACTGCACATACGGATTCATTTATCATCTCCTTGGCTAAATTAGGCTGAGAGAGTGCTTTAAACTCTGAAATACATCCCTGGACATATTCAAGGGCAATATGGCTTAATAAATACTTTAAGTGTCTGCAGGAACTAGCCTATGATTATCATCATGCCATCTACATTTAAGAAATACCCATGATAATACTCATATATTAGAATTTAGGGGAGATATTCCTCTGATTTGATCCTGGATAAAGGAAACATTGTACAATGGTGTGGTGGAAGCCGGATCACCTGTGGCAGACTACAGGCACCGAACTTATTGGCATAAAATGAATTTTCTTCTGTAATTTATAATAATAATAGGAACAAGAGCAGCCACAGCTGTAACAGCAATAATAATTAAAACACAACTTCAGGTCAATAGTTTCACAAACTATCGCTTTAGAAAAATCGTTTATAAACATGCTACATATTATTTTAGGAAATTTCCATTACACTTAGTTTAAATACTAAGATGAAAATTAATTGAACCAGAAAAGTTTAGGCTTTGTTTAGAAAACTCAAAATGAAACGTTTTTCCCCAGAAACTGTTTTATTTCAACTTGAAAAAAAATGCACTGATTCTTGTCTTTTCTCCTATGAAATTTTGCTTCAACTAGCCCATCAGGCTGAATACCAAAAGGAAGTCTCAAAAAATTTCCTGATTAGCTCCTGACTTAACACGACTCAAAGTTGTTTAACTTTCTGGAGCTTATGATTGAATTTCTATATAAATTAGCCTCCAGTAGCTAATGTGTGCAGACCTTCAAGCACTAAGTGTGATATTCTCCGGGTGCCTCTCCTGTACCTGCATGTGTGCCTGCAGTTATGTCTGTCAGGCAGGTTAGGGGAACAGCTGGCAGTCTCTGCACCTTCTAAAATTAGTAATTCCTGTCAGCCAACCAACGGTCTCTCTCTATATTACATTTTATTRTTACTTTCTTGCCAATTAATGGTGCAAGAACAGTTGGAAGTTGTCATAGGCACAAAGCCACCTGGGGCATAATAGTGGCCTCCCATCTACTGCTCCCTCCCTCTYCCACACCAGGCCTAACTACCCCCTCCAGCCTGCACTCCTTCACTCCAACCTGCTTCCTCCTCCACAACAAGCCCCATGTATTTTCACCATTTACTTATTGACTTTACCTTCTATTCTACTTACAGCTTCTTCAGTGCTTCCAAGAACTCCTGTTTTCCATTCAGGCATCTCCAAAAAAATCTTCTTGCTTCAATGTTTCTTTGAAGATGGCTCTCTCTCAATGCCACCTACCTTCTCTGTGTCCTCCAGCATCTACCCCCTGCATCTCCTACAAATGCCATGTTTTATTCTGCTCCACATTCTAATCCCTTTTTCTAATCAAAGTGATTCTAACTACTTTTATGGCAGCCTTTAACAGATCCCAGAACAGAATTTTCTAGTTGCACATCCAATAGAAAGGAATGTATATCGCTGACTTGCCTATAGGTAAACTACACACTAACCTAATGTGCAAATAAAATRTCACATGCACAAAACTTTGCTGTTTTGACTGGATTAAATCAAACTCTAYCCCATATATCTTGTTATAAAGTATATCAGAAATATATAAAAGTATGCAACTTTTTAAGGTGAACTCCTAGGAAATCAATCCTTCAACATTAATTCTACTGTAAACACAGAAGAGGAAAAATGGCATTACCTGGCACTGTTTTTGGTATATTTTTAGATCCTCCTGGAGTCTTAGGTTTTCCTCTTCAAGCTTATTCCTGTTTATTGCTATTTCATTCACAGTTGCCTTTAGCTTTTCAATAATTAATTCATCCTTTTCACTTCTGGGCTGGATGGAGGTAATTACATCTTCCTGGTTTTGTTTTTTACTGCTTATTTGGAATTGATAATTCTGGGTCTGTTTCTAAAAAAGCAGAAAATTTTCTCAGTGAAATTAAGTAATTCTTTGTACATTTTAGGACTAATCCATTTCTACTAAACTCATAAAAGTATTTCCATCCTCTTTACCACCATTTGCTCAGGAAAAAAATGGCAGAATTGGAATAGTGTGCACGCTATTTCTTGACTGGGTATTTCCTTTTCAGTCCTGAAGTTCCTTACCCTTATTGAGAAATACACTTTAGAAACTTGTAAGTGTGCAGAATTTTTCATGTTTTTTTTCTTCTCTGCTGTATACTTCCCCAGTCCTAATACAACCTTGAATGTGAAAAAGGTGATTATGATGACCTACTCATAGCAGTTAACTATATATAATAAAAATATCAGATAAATGTTTCTCTTTGATATGTTGACCCCAGTAAGAGTTGTGCATGTATGCCTCAGGATAGGTATTAACCTTTGACTAGAAATCTAGTATTACATAGTTCATGTATAAACAACCCAGTTATTTATTACAGTAATCGTACTTTGATATCATTATCTATAATCTTGGGAAAGGATTATATCCACATTCATCATCTTTGGAAGCAAAGTCATACACTCCCTTCAGTTCCTTGTACTGATTAAAAAAATCTGAGAATCAAAACTACAGGAAATTGGTATTGGTGGGATTTATCAAATTACAGGCATTGTGAAGAAACACAATTACTATGGTAACTGCATCTGCTCTTTAAAAAATAATCCATATGGATTCATCTACTGGAAGATTAACAAACAGCCATCATCTTCCAGAAGAATAAGAATTAGCTGAAAAGCAGCAACAAAATAAATTCTGCAAACCATAATCATGTATAGAGTTCAAGTTGAGCAAGAAAATTTATATTAAAGACCAACAGGGTACCATATTTTATTAATGGGGACTGCAAAAAGGTGTGCTTTAGACTGCTTCTAATGTCACTATGTTCTCAGCAATTCTGTAGGCTGAACATCTAAGCAGAACTGATCACTGGCTGCATATTAAACAGAGAACCTAGAGAAACTTGCAGAAACTTTCACTGAGTTAGCAGGTTTTAAATTACAGTTTTCTCTCAAAAGCAGGAAGATACTAGTTGTACCTGAAATAAATTACATTTCTCTGACAGTAATTTTTGTTGAGCATCTAAATAAATTAGATGATTTTGATAGATTGTCCCCTTTTTATCCCATTCTCTCGATTTTGCTTCAAATTCCTGAAAGACAGCAAAGCAAGGTTATAAAATATATGAAAAATTACTTTGTTCCTTAATCTATATAACTTTGTAATTTGTATAGTTTTAAGAAAAATATTGTTCTGTAATTAATATATCAGCTTTCCATAATCTTGGAAAGAAGACAAAAAGAACAAATATGTAAAATCGCCATCTTTTCCTTACACACACACACGCACGCACGCACACACACACACAAGCAAATACAATATAAGGAACTGTTAATCTAAAGCAATTGGAAATTAAATATAATCAATGAATCAAGATAAAACTATTTAATGAGACCTTCATTGGTGAAGATCTTAGGGACCTAATTCATTATGACAGTATCTCAGTTTAACTGGAAGGTGGTTCCCATGATTTTAAAGGCGTTATACCACTGTAATTAGTAGGTAATCTCTTAATCATCAGGCAATTTGACTGTTTTTCTTCCCTTGTTTTTTTTTGAACAACTGGGACAATAGCTACAGTGGGAAAATATTTACTTATTTCTCTCTTTTCAATTCCTGATTCTGATGTTTTTTCACCTGAATTCATCAGGATTACACAAAGCTGAATGAACAAGTTCCATTATAATCATATTTCTCTAGTATAGTTTCTGTACTTATATTTCTATTAATATTGTTTTTGATTTTGCTTTTAAATCATATTAGATCATACATGTTCACAGAAGGTATCCTACCAAAAAAAGTAGGAAAACTCCATAATTACTAGAGTTGTTACTCTTTTGGAGTGAAAATTAACAAAATAACAGTATATGGTTTTACACAGTAAAAAAAAAATAATATGCTCTAAGAACTCATTTTCACAACAGACTGGTCTCCCAAAGGTAGATGATTCTGTATAGCTCTTCAAAACTTTGTGCTCCTTGAATTAGAAAAAAACAAAGTTTTAGTTGTTGAAACTAACTTAACTGCTTTCTAAAATGGATTAACACATATCTTCCCATAAAGCTTTCTAAATATTTGCTTTGGCATTTTAAACCAATAAAAATCTTCCCATTTTACAAAATGTGATTAAAAAGAAAAGGAGATTCAGACTACTAAATGAGTACTGCAGGCTCAAGGCCTTACTGCTGCACTGCTGAGCTCAGATTTTCAACACAGTAATTATTTTCTGAATACTAAAATTTGCTGAATATATTCCAAGCACTCATTTTTCATGCTGCATAATTAATCAAATGATAGCATTGTGTTACATTATTTTCACATTTTAATCTTGAATAAGGTCACTCTCACATCCGCCGGATCCGACAGCTTCGCAGTTGTGATATATTTAGTCAATGACGGATGCACAACCCATTTATTATTCTTGTAGGAGCAGATGTTGACAGTTATGCTGAGGCCCCCAATTTAGTACCTTCTGTGGGACTCCTGTGTCTGCAGACAGGGATTATGACTCAATGCTGTCCTTAGCATCTTGTATCTTCTAATTCTCCACTCAGGAGGCTGCACCCTGTGGATTTTAAGTGCCTTATCTGTCCTCACATACTGCCTAGGGAACCAAAGTACGGAGGCCAAGGCTGGGGATTGCCCCAGGCACACAGGTGCTGACAGAGATGTGCTCTAACTATCAGCTTTCCAGGCCTTCCTCCTTTTTCTATCTTATCTATCCCTGCATGATAAAAGTTGTCCTGAAATCTATAAAACTTATAATAATGTAGTATATACCCTGTGAMACCTACCATATCCTGCATATGTAAAAATTCTCATGCCATAATAGCTGATACTATCCGATATACATCTATTCATCAGAGAGGGAGGAAGTAACACTTATTTATATTGCATTTAATATACACTGCATTTAATATACACATATATAAATAAATGTATCTAAAAGTGTAACTAAGTATATATTAAACACTTATATATATATATACACTGTTTATATCTATGAACTGACTTACCTGTATTAAATAATAAAAATAATAAAAACTCTTGCTTTTTGGACCAGGAACCTGAATATGAAATGATGTGTCTACTCTGGTAATGTGAAATATTTTTGCAGAATAATGAGAAACATAAAGTCTATGAATGTAAAACACAATTTAATTTTAAAGACATTCAAATTAACATATGACAACAATATAGTCTCACCTCCAGTTTTTTGGTTACATTGCTCAGTTCGAATGGCATCTCAAGGCCTTCCACACSTTTCTCTCCACTTTGAACCTTTTTTTGTTTTAACTGGTGTAACTGTAGCTTTTCATAACTAYGTATCAACTTCAAGAACTAAAAATGAAAGCAGACATTAACATGCAGAAGCCACCACGGACGACCACATGGCCAAGCATAACTTTAAGCTAAACTTGGTAATTGTAACTTAAAGCTCTGATTGCTCAACCAACAGAACAAAGCACCAATGCCAAAAGTAAATTTCCTAGAGATATGTCAGACTAAGCTCTTAACACAAATGCTATGTAATTGCTCGTTTAAACACAAGTTCATTTGAGAATTATTTCATTTTGCTCTTTTTTAATGGCACTTCTGGTTTTTACCCAAACAGTTGCTTCCTCTTCCATGTTTACAAGAACTGTTTTACACTTGTTTACTGCCATCTTGTGTTGACATTTTAAAAAAGTTCTTCAGGAGCCAGAAAGAAAGGTTATTGTTACAAGACTTTAAAGGAAGGTACCACCAGAAGGAAGCAGAGCTGGAGAAAACTGGTGAGGCTGAGGGAATTAGCTAGGGGACACAAAAGGGGAAGGTGGACACTCACAGGTTGGATAGAGCAGAAACACACATGGGCTGGTTGCTGAAATCTTGCTTTGAACAAAATAGTGGAGAAGCTCCTGATAGCAGAGATGACCCTGGAAAGTCAAGGGCAAGGGTGTTGTCAAAGAAAACCCTGGAAACCCAGGCCTGAGGAAAGTTAACTGAGAGGCTTTGGGAAAGATGTTGACTTCTAAAGAAGCTTAGAACCATGAATAAAGACCACATCTCTTCTTGTTTGGTTTCTTTAAAGCTAGGGATGTTATATCATATCCTCTGCAATAACTAGGGCTGCAATTTAAGAAAAAAAWAAAAAAAWACTATGACTCTATCAGGAAATTGTTTGTCTAACCAAAAGAAAAACAAACCCATAAAAGCTCTATTTTTGTTAACTGCTCAAGCTAGCTACTCTCTGKTAAAGAAAGTACTTCCATATCAAAAAAACCCACAGAATTCTGTTGAAAAAAATAATTGTGKTTTTCCTTATTTTAGAAACATTTTATGCAACTGAGAATTCAGGACATTAAACAGGAGGGCAGAAAAAAGCAGAAGTGAGTGGCTGAGTGGCTATGTATGCCAAGTATGTATGGACATTCTTAAGAATCAGAAATCCAAATGTTTGGGATAAAGGCAAAAGGTAAAGGACTCTCCCAGAAGGTTCTGGTGGTCTGAGCAGTCACTAAAAGTGAAAATCCTGGATGGAGGGATTGCCAGGTATATGGAAGAAATTATGCCAGTATGTGGACGGTTAGGGAGTGTCATACTCCTTTAAAAATAAACCCMTGAAGAGTGAAGAAATAGTATTTCCTCATGGCAAAGACTTGGAAATGGACATGGGAAAGTAACAACTCAAAATCAAACGCTTTGTGAAAAATGACCTGGAGTTTCAGTTTCAGAAACAACAGTGGAATTCTTGGCATCAACCCTAAATGTGAAAATAGTGATTGTTAAAGAGAGAAGAGGATCTAAGGTGYAAAGAAATATCTCAGGGAATGTGATAAAAGATAACAAAAAAGAGATCTGCTGTCGTGTGGGCGATGGTTTTGCATTGTGAAAGGCACTTTGCAATTTAAACCTAAAATGTAATACCTATCTTTTTCAATTGTCTGATATTTAGCTTCTCGGTAATCATGCTAAGATGTAGGTATCTTTCTTTCCTTTTTTTTTTTCTTTGTAATTTATTGTGTAAACTATAAACCAGCTTTTGTTTCTAGCTCCTTTCCCAAATGATTAAAGGTGTTAATTACAGGCCAAATAAAACATTCTCAGTTACACACAAGTTGTTTGCCAAGCAGCATTCCATAATTAAATGCAAACATAAATTAAAAAAGATAAAAATCAAACAAACTTAAAGGATAAATTATACATTTGTGGTTTGATAGTGTGACGGATATGCTCCTTTCCCAGCTCAGCCTGGCCTGTACCTTACACGCAGCCCTGTTCAGTTGCTAACCACCAGCGATTTATCTAATCCTGGTAGGCGCCACCATTCTGATTTCTTCTCCCACTTAGACTCAACATAACATTCCTAAAGGCTGCATCCCAAAGGGGCGGTAAGGCTAGTGAACTAGCCAATGGGCCTCTGAAATGAAAGAATGACTATAAGTCAATCATCTTATCCTATAAATATGCGGACAGCCCGAGAGCCCCTTGAGCTCTCCTGGCATGGCAGCGGGCTGCACAGCAGGATCTCCCCTGGAGCAGGGACGCCTCTCAAGGTTACTCCTCGAGGTTGAGAGATCCCGCTTTCCACGACAGATTTGTGGTAAGTGAACACAGCGCRCTCTCTCTCTTTAACTTTACTTTGTAACTGTGCACAAGAACCCTTAGTCATAAACCGTGGACCAGGTCTGGGRCTAGGATTGGATACAGCTGCACCCAGACTCCTCTCAGAAGGAGCCTGSAAAGCAAGAAGGTCCAATCTGAACCTCGTGACTCAATGGGAGGGTATCCCAAGATAATTGTGTATTATCTTGAGCCCCCATGCAGTAAATAATAAGCGACCTTGCCATAGAATCTTGTGAAACCATTGTCCATATTAATAAATCCTATTATTATTTCTTTCATACGAGTGAACTGCATTTTTGTCACTCACCCCTGCCACCACTTGTTCCGTGATAGACAGACTGTGAGTAACTAATGTCACCAGCTCTGAAAGAAAATCATGATTTCCAACCTGGGCAATCAAAGCCAATTCTACCACAAGTGTGATTGGACACTTGACTTGGAAAATTTTATAAGACAAAATCTCTAGGAGCAGAAGCCAGTAAAGAAAACAGCAGAAGGATAAAAAAAAATAATAAAAGAGAAATGTACACTTGTCTACATTAATGTGTTAAAATCTGGGGAACAATACAGCCAAAAGTTCACTAATTCAGGTTTGTGATTGGAGTGGAAAATAAAGAAGAAATAAATACAGGCATAGAGTAAACATCCTTTATATACAGCCAAAACAAATTTACAACATGAATGTTTGAGGTTACTCTGTCAGGAAAACTCTCTTCTCTTGCATAAAGCTAACAAGCCATTTTAATGATCCCTATAAAGCAGGCAAACTAAAATCAGAGAAGTGTAAGGCAATCAAAGACATGAAAAGAACAGTTTGTCTCAAAATTTCTAATGTGCAGTAGAGTCTTACGAGCATGATGCTAATGATCTGATTTATTCATTTCACTAAGATTTCAAGTTATTAGTCCATAGTCAAAAAAAAAAAAAGTCTGACTCCAGGACCGTTGCCTTCCTGGACTGTCACCATCCATCCCAGGGTCCATACATGTTGGTACAGAAATGTTAGCCAGGTTGGAAGATGCCGTCATTGGCATTTGCGTGACACAATTTACCTTTCCCAAATCACAGAATCACAGAATGGAAGGGTTGAGGTTGGAAGGGACCTCTAGACATCACCTAGTCCAACCCCCTGCTCCAGCAGGGACACCCAGAGCACAGGGCACAGGGTGGCAGCCAGGCRGGTTTGGAAGATCTCCAGAGAAGGAGACTCCACAACCTCCCTGGGCAGCCTGTTCTAGGGCTCTGGCACCCTCACAGGAAAGTTCTTCCTCATATGGAGATGGAACTTCCTGTATTTCAACTTGTACCCATTACCTGTCACTGGCCACCACCGAGAAGACTTTGGCCCCATCCTCTTTACACTCTCCCCTGAGGTACTTACACATGTTAATCAGGTCCCCTCTCAGCCTTCTCTCCCCCAGGCTAAACAGGCTCAGCTCACTCAGTCTCTCCTCCTACGACAGATGCTTCAGTCCCTTAATTATCTTAGTTGCTCYACACTGGACCCTCTCTAGAAGCTCCACAGTTTCAAAAAGGTGAATCTACTCTACATGGAAGATCTTTATACCGCCAAGAGAAAATAATGAAATCAACTTTTTTTCTTACTTGAGATTTCAATGCTTGAAGCTGGACCTCATAATTCTGAACCATTTCTGATTTAGTTTTCTGTAAGTTTTCCAGCTTCTGTTGAAGTAGTCCCACCTACAGTTAGAATAAGCATTTAATTTTACCCTTGCCAAAGTGTTCAAATATGCACATTTTTCAAAGTAGTTATTTGAAACTTTGAAAGTAGATTGTGGCATAAAAGATGAATGTTAAAAAATAAACTTATTTGATTAATATTAAAACCTGCACACCACAGACCCATATTGTATTGAAATCAAATTCCAGATTTGAAAGTAAAAAACCTTACCTTTGCTTATGTTATGATTTAATGCTAACACTACCATGGAAGACCCTTAGGTGAAAGCAGTTCTGGCCAAACTTTATGAATAAATCTCTGGCCACCAGTATGAAAATTTCACTTGAATGCCTCATGTAATCACATATATAACTTTCAGTAATTTATAAGCCCATTCCTGGGAGATACTGTAGGCTCATTTCAGTTCTTTGAGGTATCTTGATACCCCTTTGAGACATCTTGAATTATCTGATATTTGCACATAGATCTGAGAATTAACACAAAGAACATGCAGAAAATCTGTACTTTTCTGGAGAGACAACAGGACACGAGGTGGAATACACTAAAATATTTCAGACAATACAATACCTGTGTATAGGCAAATAACTTAAGGCTTTACGGGCTGGCTAGCTGAATTATTCGCTTGGCTCCTCTGGCTGCAATGACTAAGGGTATTTGCATTGAAATCTAAATTGTTTGTTAGGGCGAATTACATCATTTTCCAAAATCCCACTGCCTATAATGGTAGCTTAGGTACCTAGTTCACACACATGCATCCACATGTAAGCACCTCACTTTAGATATATTAAGTTACTGTTGAAAGCCCTGCTAAGATTCACTGATGTCTCTGAGCAGCTCTAAGTGGTAAMACAATACAAACTGCATTGTAATAATAAAATTAACATTTAAAGCTGCATACATAGCATTTAAAATGGCAAAAAATGGGGATGAACATGAATTACAAGGGCAAAATTTGGTCTAACTTTTTGAACAGTGTGTTTTTATTTTCAAATTCTGGTGATGTTAGAAGTGTTGGCATTTAAAAATATCAATTCATCTTTTTATAACTAAACTGAGAATATTTGACGYAGACCACAGGGAAATAAAATAGATATGGGACTTTGAATGACATTTTTACTATTTTTTTTTTCACAACAGAAGCACAGTTTAAAACAAAACACTAAAGATGATTACTGACCTTTAAAAATGTGTTTGGTATTTTGACATGACAGAATGAACAGTACTACTTAGAGAGCATATTATTAACTAACTCCCAGAATAAACACTTTCTTCACAGAATGGAACATTTTTAAGTACCTCTTGACCTTTTTGATCCAATTTACTTTGGGCATTTGCTAATTCTTGATCGCGGATATCCATCTTTGCCTCCAAAGCTCGCATCTTCCTTTCCCATTCCATTTTCTTGCTGTTTACCATGATATCAATTTGATGCATTAACTCCTGAAGTTCAGCTTCACATGGAGAATCTCTAATAATGTATATTAAAAAAAGTTTATATATATCTTATATTTTAAAATATTTTTATTATCTTATGAAGAAGAACGTAGGTGTTACTTTAGATCACTAAAATTTATTTTTGAATTATGATGGAAATACACAGTCTTCAACATCAGAAAAAAATGGAGAAGCTAAATGATGCCTTCAAGGGTTAATGGAATCCCATTTCTTCACTCTTAAGTTTGCCTGAAGTTAAAATCAGAATTTTTAGGATATTTGGGATGTTTTTACCTCATTAAAATGCTGTTGCTAAGTTGCAAAATGAACATAAATGAAGTTGAAAGAATGCCATAGAGGGAACAAAGACTTCCAGGTCTTCCAGACCTCTAGATGTGGGGAAGAGGAGCTGAATACTAAGTTACACTTGGACACAGGACTTCCTACTATGACTATAGGAATCATGGAAGCAAGTTATTAAAAAGCCAACTTGAAAACCAGCAATATTCTTAATTGCTAGTTCAATTTTGGCACTTTGATTTCACATTATCTTTGGTAAATGGATTTAAGTCACAAGACAATTTCTACAACATTAATCTACTAATAAGCTCAGAAATGAGTGCATCTTGAAACAGAACTCAGCTTTGAGGGACACTACGCTGCACTTAAGTACAGGCTGGGCATTATGTGCACATAAACAGGACATTTTTTCCAAACTTCTGAGTCAAGTTTGGAATACATCTCTTGCAGTATGATTTAGTTATCAGTGACAGAACATGTTTTATATTGTTGCTTTCAGATCATTGTAGCTCATAAGTATCAAAATAATGCMGATATCACAGAATTACAGAATAACTGAGGTTAGACAGGACCTCTGGAGACCATCCAACCCCCTGCCTAAAGCATAGTCAACTACAGGTTGCTTAGGACATTGTCCAAACAGGTCTTGAACCTGTTTCCAAACAGATCTCCTAAAGTGAAGACTCCACAACCTCTCTGGGCAACCTTCTTTTCAGTGCTTTACAATCCTCACTTAAAAACTCTACACTTGGGATTAAATGGAGTTTCTGATATTTCAGTTTATGCCCACTGCTTCTTGTTGTGTCACTAGGAAACCCCAAGAASAGCCTGGTTCCATCTTCTTTACAAGTCTCATCAGATATTTATATGTACTGACAAGCCCTCCCTCTTGGACCATCTCTTTCCTGCTTCCACCTCCTGTATGCTTCCTCCTCATGTTTCGAGCTTCTTGCTCATCCATGGCCTCCTGCCACCTTTGCTTATCTTCCTGCAACTTAAGATGGATTTTTGACTTTGGAAGAGGTAGTCCTCGAAAATCAACTTGGACCGTTCTCATCTCCAACAGTCTCCCTTGGGATTCTTCCAGGCAGAGCCCTGAAGAGGTCAAAGTCTGCTTTCCCCAAGTCTAGGATTGTGATGCTGCGCTTTTTTTTTTCTTTTTTTTTTTTTTCTTTCCCTCTCAGGATCATGAATTCCATCATCTCATGACAACTGTTGCTAAGGTTTACCCCAGGCTTGACCTCAAGCTTACCCCAGGCTTGACCAGGTTTACCCTCCTTGACCTGTTTCTCCTTGTTTGTAAATATGGGATCCACAGTTCACCTCCCCTCTTCAACTCTATCACCTGTGTCAGGAAGTTGTCAGGAAGCTCCATAAATCTGTATAGTTTGTGTCCTTCAGCACAAATGGGTGTAGTCAAAGTCCCTAATGAAGACCAGGGCCTGTAAACATGAGGCTCATCACGATGTTGCCCGTGTTCGTCTGTCCTCTAATCCTAACTCCTAAACTGCTTACTTGTGTCCCTACGCAGAACGTCATGTAGTCCTGCTGCTTTCTCACACAAAATATACCTCCTCCTCTCACCTCTCCAGCTGTTCCTTCCTACAGCTCTCATACCCGCTCATTGCAGCATTCTTATTTATTCCCCATGCTGTTTGCAGTACTGTGCAGCACTTCAGAGAGACTTCCAGCCATGCTGATTTTGTCTGATTTTGTTTATGAGGACACACATGGGGTGAGCTGGTTATTTTCTCCCTCCCTTGTCATTCCTAATTTAAAGTTCTCCTCATAAAGTTGGCCAACATGTTGGCAAAGATGCTTTAGCYCCACTTAGTCAGGTGGATCCCATTTCTTCCAAGCAAACTTCAGTCCTTRGAGAGGGACCCATGGCCATAAAAACCAAAGTTCTGTTGCTAAGGGTTAACCAGCTAAACCAGCTGTATGATCAGCTCCTGACCCACAGGATCCTCTATTCATCCTCATGCCCTTCATCCTCCCTAGAAGCATAGAGGAGAAAGTGATCAAGTYCCTCATGCCCTTAGTGACTGATGACAAAGCCACATAGTCACACTTGATACTTCCCAGATCACTTCTGGCATCATTGGTGCCTCTGTGGAATTGTAGCTGGGAGTAATAACACGAGGGGCAGACAAGGCTCAGCAGGCTCAGCAGTCATAGAGATCTTCTAGTCCAACCCTCCTGCACATGCAGGGGCACCTACAGCATGTTGCACAGGCTGCGTCCAAGCGGCTTTGGAAGATCTCCAGAGAAGGAGACTCCACCACCGCTCTGGGCAGCCTGTTCCAGGGCTCTGTCACCCTCACTGTCAAGAATTTTTTCCTTAAGTTCCTGTGGAACTTTTGGTGCTTCAGCTTGTCTTGTCACAGAGTCCTCAATCTGAGCCACTGGCAAGCATCAAACTGCTGTAGACGAAAGATCAGGTCCGTGGATGGGGGCCTTCTTTCCAGCAGCATGTCATCTGATTATCTCTTTTTCAAGCTATCTGGTTGTTGATATTCTTTTTCCCCTCTTTCTATGACTATTTTTATTTTTTGCACTTTATTTTTAACAACTGTTCTCGCTTTAACTGGTTTTATGATTTTGTTTTAATAAGAGATTCTATTCTTAGCTGACCTCAATGCATGGCTTTATTACTTGTGTTAGAAGATCTCTCTTTACCTCATCTTTATCCCCATGTCAAAAAGTTTTGGAATGTGCCATCTTTGGTCATTGCAACCTTATCTTGGCCAAGAGAAAGAAAACATTCTGCTTTGCAATCCTCAGATTACTRCTTTCAGTAGTATGATCTGATCATGCCAATGTGAAAATTTCTGACTGCTTCCTCTGCAATGATGTTGAGATTAGTGTATCTAATTACTGCTGTCTCTAAATGAAGGTACAAATGAATTACATGATGTTTCTTCAGTGTCAACACTTTTCTTATCGCAACAAACTATACTGTAGTAATCAATTAGTTGTACACCTGCTTTCTCTTCACTTTTTTAATCTGTTGCAGTGACAGTTTAATCTAAATTTAATTTAATGCATTATTTGCATGCATTATTTTCATGCCTTTTTCCATTCTTGATTGTTTTTAGTTGAATAGAAGCCTGTATTGAAATTCCTGTTGATAAAATCAGCATTTTTATTGTTTCATAAATTTGCTAACTATATTCCTTAAATTTAAACTGATGCAAAAAATGTATTGTAATCCATTACTTTTCATGAYGATAAATTTAGTGTTTTAATAAAATAAGTCTCTTCCTAGAAAATATTTAACAATACTCTGTCATTTTGTAGTGTTAGACCATATGCTATTTTCCTCTTCAGGGAATTATTTAGCCCACTGACATTTTCTTAAAAAGTAAATGTAATGGCCACTGATTATAGTATTTTGATTTATAAAAGCACGAATGTCCTGTAATCCTCGACTGTTGATGGTACATAACCCTGCAGGGCAAAGGCCTTTACCATTGCTAAGCAGAGCGCAGTCATTCAAATGTTTCCATGAAGTGGCTGCTTGTAAAAATGTGCATAGGTAATTCCTTTAGTAATCCTCTATATTTCATAGCTCCCTTTACTCTCCTTGTGCCTTGGCCAAGAAATCAATTGATTTATGAAATAATTGCCTGAGAGATGGTTGCCCAGGAACTAAAGGCTGTGCAGCATCTACATAAGGTAATGACAGTTTATGAAAGGGATGATGATAAAAAGCACCGGGTGCCTGGGACCAGCTCATCCTTGCAAGTGCTTTTTTGTGATGTTAAATTGTTGCATACCCCATATTGTGATAATCGCTACAAGAAACTGGAGAATATTTCTTAGATACACAACATCATAATTAAGAYCTCAACATAATTTTTTAAAATAAAATCCTTTAAAAGCTTCTTTTCGATCAACAAGACCTGGAAAATTTCTTTCATAACAGTGTTATGAAACAGTCTCACTATTTTCTCTTTCTCATCTTTGGCTGCTTTCTTACCTTGATCTTCCAGCTGTGCCTAAAGCTGTAGATTATTACAGTTGTTCTGCTACCAGAGCCACCTTACAGCTTGGCTATGAYTCTCCAAATGAAGATGGACCTGCTAGTTAAACCCACCAACTACTTCCATAGAGGTATTGCTGCTGTAACTACTATTTTAGTCCTGCTAAAGCGGTCTGAAAATAGTGCTAATTCTCCCTCCAGAACATGGCCAGTCATATGGTCTCAGTATCTGAAAAATTTCATTTGATTCCTGGATGTGGAATATGGCAAACTCTGTTGTTTTGTTTTTTCTTTTATATCCCATCAGTCATTTGGCAAAGAAACACAAAGAACAAGATACCGAACACACACTGCAGATGGGTTCCTCCTGCATGGCAATAAAGACTTGTGTTTGAGCAAGTGGCAGGTATTTTTGGTTGCATTTACTCTGAAACACTTCAAAACACCTAAAAGCATTTTTAAAGTGATGTAGGCAAGCTCTTATCTTTTTCACTCCATTTTCATATTAGTAAAACAGAGATGATTCATATTCTCCTGTCATTTAGAACTATTTATCTGTAGGAAGAGAGAGCAATAGTGCATGCAAAATACTCTGTGTTTTCAGGTTCAAACCAACCAAAGCCCAGATAACAAGCGCTGCTGACTCCAGGCTTTTATCTTTCTGMAAACTGATTTCTTGCTCTAGTTAGATCTTTACAGCTCAGTTCACCCTCTTGCATTAGCGTTCTACACACATCTGTATTTTTCTAAATGTTTTTTGAGGCACAGAAATATCTTTTGTAGCCATTAGAATAAACTGCAATTTATAACCTGAATTTTTTAGAAAAGCTTAGTTCAGACTGTCAGCATCTGTTTCATGCCTTTTCTGTTTTACTCTTAGGTTTGCAGACAAATAGGAAAGCACATATGAATATACCTATGCAAACACATGTTAAACCTATGCAGAACAATCTAAGTAAAGATTTCCATCTTACACAGTACATTCATTTAATTTTGATCTTTAACCCACATTCTAGACCCAGTACTATCTGATTTTCCCTTCTAAAAGATAGCTTTAAAACAGGAATTATAAAAACGGGTTGTTATACAACACTGCATTAGAATCTTCTGCCCCGGAGTTCCATTATATGAAATACAACTAATTCATTTAACAATTTTACTCACTTTGTCAGCCACACGCATCCATGGATGGTAATTTGTAATTTATGAGTCTTCACTGCACAGAAATAATTATTATTATATCTATGACCATTATTCAGCCAGCTTCCCAAATTTTAAAGAATCTGCATTATCCCCAGGATCCTGGCAGCACAGATGGAAACCAGTGTCTTCTGCCATGAGATAYGGATTCTAAATTGCCCTTTTAGGTTTCTTTTTTTTTGCACTATTAATGGAAATAAATAGCTACCTAGAATACTTTTTTTTTATGATGAGAGGAATCACTCCCTAGATTCCTCTGTCATGGCCTGGMATTTCACAAATATTAGTTACAACTGAGGCCAAAAAGATCTCTCTTGAAATAGCTTTTGGATTTATTTAAAGTATCCAGACAAAAGCTATTTTCTTTTTTAAAAAATTCAAGTTTTTGTATGACTATATTTACCAGTCATGGCGCTAATAAAAAGAAGGCTTCTTAAAGTTGAAAAATAAGTGTCACATTGTTCTGATATAGCGTTTTTGCACTGTACATTTTTTTCTATGAGGAWAAGTGCATGCAGAACAGGTATAATCCAGTACAACAGAATATGTATATTCAAATCATATAAAAATCWCGTTGGGTCAGAATATGGTGTGACCCAACACACATGTTTGAATATGTGTGTTTCTATGAAGAGAGACTTTTACACTTAGTATATGTCATAAGAGCTAGGACTGCCTTACATTAATATTGATATAAGAGTTTTTTAACATGAAAATATACAGTATGCTTATTTATAAAATTATGATAAATTATTCTATCCAACTTATCATATAGGGAAGTACTCTGTGTGTTGCTGTGGTCCTGGAACATCAGCTCCTGCAATAGGCAAGTGAGGATGGGGAACAGCYGAGTTCTGTAAAGCCCCTCGATCCTGGGAAACTTTCAGCAGTGCCAACACATACAGAGCAAGATCCTGCCATTCCTAAACCTCTCTGGTCTGGTTAATCGTTTTAATGAGGCAATCAATCCCTGATTTCAACRATACAGCCTTCATGAAGCTGTATTCACAGAGATTCGGCCTGTATGTATATTTCTTAAAAACATTTTTGTGCTGTGCTAATGKTTTTTTTTTAGATTAATAATAATGGGGAAGAACCGAACTTGGATTGTGTTGAAAAAGATGATTGTGTTGCAGATGAAAAGTGCATTACTTAACACCTGGTAAGAGCAATGTGTAAACTAGGGCTATGGCTCTAGCAATTAATAGGCTTGTTTTTGAGATTTTTGAGCTTTTAAATGCCGTGATATGTAAGCTCACACTGCTGTAGCCTAGCAACTTTGACAATTTTTGAAAAACATTTCAAATAGTTAGCACTTCAATAAAATCCCACWTGGCTTTCATTTTTCTTTGTTCAGGTATACACACTTTTAAAAATAAAAATAAAGAAAGGCACTCACTAGATTATTAACTAAGGGAATGAGCTGTGTTATCCTAGTTA